ATATATATATATATATATATATGCACAATGTAAATTAGTCCAATATTTTGTTAAACTCAGCTCATTATTATTGAATGTTGTGGCTCTGTCCTGTTGATTGACAGACAAAGACTTGATAAAAAGTGGTACTGTTGTTTAAAATAAAGTGGACCTTGAATAATGTTTTGTAGCCTAGTAAAAACTGCTGGGATTAAATGTAGATTGATTATTTAATTAAGGTCATTTTTTTATTCTTTAATATTGATATATATAAAAAGGATGCATAGATTTCAGCAGGTAATGGGAATTTGCTGAAATGTATTATTTCAGCAGTTACCTTCCCACCCCTGCTCCAGTCCTCCCTCTGCTGCTCCTACCTGTGTGTTAGCAGGGCCGTGCAGGTCGGCAGTGACCGTGGCTGACGAGGTAGAGGGCACCTCCAGTGTTGGGGACTTTGAAAGGGCAGGACTGGCCTTCCTGTCCTCACCTGGAGGCTCCACAGCGGTGGGAGTAGACGGCTGCTGGCCTTGATTCTCTGTAAAGGTCACTGACCTCTTTTGGTCTCCATGCGCTGTGGGCACACATGCATGCGCACCTGGTCAAACCGGAGGCGCGAGCTAGCGACTCGCTTAAACATCAGCACCACCAAAGAGAGTGGAGGCAAGGACGAGACAGGGAGGGAGGGAGGGGGGGGTAAGGCAAGGACCGGGTGGGGGTGCAAGACAGACATGCAGAGCGCCCTATTGGGTGAGGTTGCAGATAAAAGGGTTATGTCTCACCTTCACAGTCCAATAAAGTTTCTTTATTTAGAAACAAAAGGCATGAGACAGAACAGAGTGAGAAGAGTCAGTCTGGTGACAGGTGGAACAACAAACAGCATTGGAACAAAGACAGAGGTTGTGAATGGGGAAGATGGGTCAGTTCAAGTCAGCACACAGACATTAAATATAGTATTTTTAATTGTAGAATTGTCTTTAAACGGTATTAAACGTCTAGATTTGGCTTGTGTGCTAGATCTGAAGTGCAGGGTAAGTCTGGCCGTTTGTTTCTTTTTTCATTTTAAGACACAAGTTAGAAAACATACATTCAGTCACCAACACTAGCACACACACACACACAAAGGCACGTGTGCTGTTACCCAGTGGTTTGTTCTTGGGCTGGATGCTCCTGCGGGTTGTAGAGAGCCTCGCTCCGGATCGACCACGGGATTCATTCTTTGGGATGGACAGCAGGGGGCGTCGCAGCTGCAGGAAAGTCACGATTTAGAGTGAATAGTGGAGTATCAGCAGGTTTCCATTCATGCATTTTTATGCAAACTATAAAGTCTTTTAGAATCTATTGATCTATTTATTTATGAATGCAAAAGGTATTAAATTTACTTTATTTTTATTTATAAAGCCTACTATGTGTGATTACTTGTTTTCCTACATCTGATAGCGTTACAATAATAAATCTGTAGGATTTCTCCTAATTTGTTTAAAAATGAATCTTGTTAATCATGATCCAATGAGTGAAAACTCCTATTTCTATTTTCTTTAATTTAACGATAATTGCTGTTACAGTTGGAAGTGTTATGTACAAAGTTATAAAACCATTAAAAAAGGGTTGCAATCGGCTTGCATTAGACAAGGATTACATTTTAAAAATCATTCCAAATCACCAAGCATGCAGTCATGTTGCATTAATTTTACTTATATTCTATAAAATTGCTCATATTTATTACCATCACATTAGGCCTATTTATCCATATTATCCTTCTGTGTGTGTTAAATTAAAAAAAGATGAAAGACAAAGTTGATGTCCACACCTGTCTGAGGCCTCGTTTTCTTCCTAACGGAGGCTGGATGAGAAGGTTCTGCTGGCCTGGTTCACTCTGCACACTGGCAACCCTGGTACAACCAATCATATGGACACAGACACACAGACACACAGAAATAGATCACCATGAAGGGACCAAAACACCACCGCATTCCCAGCAGTGCTCGCTTACTGACCACACCTTTTACCACAATAAGATGTTGCTGCTATTCTACCATTCGCTCACTACACGACACACACAGTATGTTACAAGACATCACAGTGCAGAAGAAAACTACTGCCATGATTCATACACTGAAAACACAACAGGGGATAATAGGGGCTGGAGCAGCAACACTGACAAAAGAAACTTGTGTGACTTGTAGTTTTTTTAAGTAAGCTCTTCATACATTTCAAATCCCCTACCCACTTTTTTAAATGTTACACCTTTAAAATTATTTTGTCATCGAACCATGAAACAGGGCTAGATCAGATTGTTCTTAAAAGCTATACTGGACAAAACTGGACAAAGAAAACAACAAAAGTGTCCTTTTATTATTATGGTTGCCACCCCAGTTCCCCCTTGCCCCTACAGATTGGTATCCAGAGTAGGACGCCCAATTTGATCAGCGAGAAGCCTGATAGACACGTAAACAGTATGAAACACCATGGCACCAATGGGAAAGAGGCTGACTTTGGTGATGGCACATCAACTGTAAAGACCCACAGCTAACAGAGGAGAAACAGAGGCAGAGCTCCCTGGCCCCCGGGGCTTGAGGGGGCCCTCTTTTATTTTTTTTATTTTTTATGGGGGGGAGGGGCCCGGTTAGGATAGCACAGCAGATGAGCTGAGAAGATGAGGGTCAGTGTGGAGTCAAAAGGAAGAAGGGAGGTAGGGGACAGAGACAAGGCACACTGGACCCACACAGAAAGAGATAGACAGGTAAGTGAGGGGGTGGGGGGTGGCGGGCCAAGGCGATTTGTGTGGATGTGGATGAGTGATCAACGGCGAGGCGGCCAATAGAGGAGGCCGTCCCGAGGCGATGCCCCTCCCACTGGCGGACAGATGCAAGAACGCACCAATGGGACACACACAGAGATTGGGCCACTGTACCTAGAGAGGTTACCCTCCTGCAGAAGGCCCTGGGACTCATCTAGCACATTGGGTTCACTGTAAAAAGGGGGGCGAAGGGGGAGAATAGGGAGTTTAGGGAGTGTAGTCAAGATTCGTCAAATCCCTGAGCCCCAAGAGTGGGACAGGAAGCCAGGGCTCTGACCACAACTTCGTTCTTACCAAGATACTGAGTCTTAGCTACTTCACAATGCTGCTCTGAGACTGTTGAATAAAAAAACATCATAAATCAACAGAGATATACAGAAAAAAATGACTGGTTGTGGGATATGACTGGTTGATCCTTTTCAAAATGTTAATTCTACATATTACATAAAGATTTGAATCATACATGAACAATTCTTGAAGGCAGAGCTGCTCTGGAGACAGAAACAATCTCATTGGTTGAGTTCAAGCCCAGTGGCGTACATACCCAAAACTCTTCCTGTCCATAAAAGAGACTACACTTGAAGAAAAGTTAAACTTCATGCTTGTTTGCACTACAGGCCTGTTAGCGTTTCAGTGTGTATTTGTATGCCGGGAATGTTACCTGTGGCTGGGCAGCATGGTGGTGCGGGGGGCCTCGGGCTGCAGTGTGGCTGAGCCGGTGGCGTGGCTGGAGAAACGGCGCTGTGCTATCACCCTGGGCAAGAAGGCCTCGTGCTCGCTCACCACGCTTGGGATACTCATGGAGTCATCTGGGGGGAGAAGGACGGAGTTCAGTTTAATTTTTAACAAATGTCAGACTTGGAAGAAATAAAAATAAAAAGGAAATGTTTCTGACTCTCTTCGTCATCCTCATCAGTGCGGCTGAGTGTGTCTTGGGAGGGCTGGCGTGACGGTTGGCTGTCCTGCTCCCAAACCGTGCCAGTGCCGGTGTTGGAGCGTGACATTGTTGCCAAACTGAGGCGATAGGCTGATGTAGAGGTGCCCACCGTGCTGATGGATGTCTTGCCCTGGTAGGCTGTTGGGTTTGGGCAGGTCAAACAGAAACACAGGCTTAAATAGTCAACATTCAACAGTCAACAGTTAACATTCAGAACACGAAAAAAAGATTTCAGTGTTAAAAATGTAAGAAATGGAAGTTTTTGTTCCAGTATAGTAAGTGTCTGACCAGAGCCGCTGTGCACAGCCTCCTTGAGGATCTTGAGTTCATTGTTAAACTCCGCAAACAACGAGCTCTTGCAAAGGGGTCGCGGGATGAAGCGTCGTTCCAGCTGGTCAGCGATGTGGTGGCGTGCTGTGATCTCTTCCTGGGAGTCAGCGGGCTGGGTCAACAACTACACAAACATAAACGTATGTGGACCAGTAAAGAAGACAAAAAGACAAGGCAAAGAGTACACACATGCACACACATCTAAGAGAGTCACTGGTTGTTTACCTTGCACTGTATGAAGGGTCTCAGCAGGACAAAGATAGGGATACGGGTTCTTACAATGAAGTCAATGAAGTCCCAGAAGGCCAAGCCGCCCACCTTTCTCAGAGCCATCTCTTTCACCTGCAGGCTCAGCCGGTACCACTGGTTCCCCAATGAGCGCTCAAAGCAAACCAGCACCACCTTCAGAGCTGCAGAGGAAAGGAAGGAGGAAAAAGGATGAAAAGTGGCAGGAACGAAAGGAGCTACAAAATGCCGTCGTTTTCTCAGTCGTACCCAGATATGCAGCCTGGCTGGTAGACTCGGCTAACCCCTCTCTGCGCAGATCCTTCCCCGTGTCGCCAGGGGTGGAGCAGTGAGCCGGAGAAGCGTCCAGCATGAAGTTCTTGGTGCGGGAGGTGGAGATGATCCGGGGAGGCAGGAGAATGTTGATGACCGTCTGGAGGAGCAGGAAGATCTCGGGCTGCTCCAGGTGGGGGCTATCTGCAAAGCGACATTAAAATACAAACAAGCTAGCAAGCAAATTAATCTACATTTATTTTTATTTACATTAATTGACCTCCTGCAGGTTTTTTTTTGTTTACCAAGTTGACTTTTTAGGACTGTTTCTTATCACACAAAGCCTTTAATCTAACCTTTGCTCCCAGAGCCCACAGTGAGCACAAAGGGAATGAGCAGATTGAGTAGCATCCCCTCTCGTCTCTCCTGATTGGTGAAGGGTGAGATCACGTGGCTGAGAGGAAAGTCCTCCTTCAAGGCCTAAACAAATGGAGGAAATAAAAAATGAGGCAATGTACAGTCAGTGTTTCTGATTGAGGAGACAGATGACCTACTTGAATCTGCAAGGCAACCAGTCGGACCACTGCTGTGCTGAAGGGCAGCGGAGGGGACAGGTAGGGGCTGAGGTGGAGAAGAGGAAGCCCATCTGCCACACTGGACGGACCAACCACACCCATCACCTGACAACACACACATATAAACACTCAGAACAGTCATTACACAGAAGGATTTGGGTTGTCTTGAGTTTGTCTCCGTACCAGGTTGACACAGACGTTGATCAGCGAGCGAAGGTGTGGGAGGAAAGAGATGATTGGCTGTCGCTGCAGGGTCAGGCAGATCCCCTCGATCAGGCTGCTGGCCGCCTCCCACTCCACTTGTCTCCTGGAGAACGCACACCCAGAACAAGACCACCGCCACAACCAAACAAAAGCACATTGTCATGATATTAAAAAGAGTGTCCAAACACAAATGCCTCATTCATGTCATGTGGGATGAGAAAGAAATTCAAGATGTTGGCTGTGAAAAGCCAATCGATCTTATTTCCATCTCATCGGCTTCTTTTCCAATGACTTGAATGTGGCATAAGATTAATATTAAATGTATCAAGTCTACAAAGAACGGAGGAGCAAACCATCATATGCTGAGAGTGATACTGGTGGAACACTTACCACTTTATTAATATTCCCCGCCATACAATCATCACCTTTATGACTGAAATAAAGGCCATACTGACAGCAAATACAGTATACAGCAAAGCTCACAAACATAGCCAGCTAAACACAACAACAGATACTGGTGTGAAGTGACATCCCAACACAGTGCCCTCTGAGTCAGTCGTCCTTATGTCATGGAGGAAGTTTGCACCTTCTGCTCTGAGGGTGTATTTCTGCTGCATTTCGATGCATTTGAACATTTTAATATCGTTTTATTTAGTTCATTGTCTCTCCTTCTATACCCTGACCAGTATTATAGCATTAAATATATCAACAGTTACGACAAAGTAGTATTGAGAGGCCACCTTAGACGTAAACTGTGGAATAGCCTTGTCCATTAATATCTGGTATTTCCTTTAAGAAACATCTTGTATGTATCAGTCATGTATGTTTTAATTTTAGCTTTAGTTTATTTGGTTAAATGTGAATTAAACGTCCACTGTTTACAATTACATTTCGATTTATTCAATTTTAGGTAATGTTACTAGAGCTGTATTTTATGTATGAAACACAAATATTACTATTATTATGAGCAGTGTTACTGTAATCAAATCTCTGAATGAGTAATGTTAGTGAGAAGTAGTAAAAATGTGTGTTAATGTATTAAATGACAAAAAACACCTTTGACTGCTTTATCACCAGCTGAATGAACAGTGGTGTTTGCCTGAAACTAAAATCTGAATCATCTTTCATGACACAAGACTGAACACTGGCTTGGAGGGAACACTGCTGGTGATCCATAGTTAGTACACACATCCTTGCATTTAGCGCCTCTCGCACACACGCGCCTAGGTGTATCTGCACAAAAACACACCACAGCAGCACTTACAGTACAGCACCCACGAAGGCAGCAGTACAGAGGACAGTGCCAAGAAGCCGTCTATCTACTGTACACACCACGGCACCGGCACAGCACGATACACTCACAGGGAGACAGTAAGAAGTGATCGTATTCAACAGACCTGGTGCATAATGCCTGTGGGCGTGCGCACCTGAGCGTGGGCATCTTGTGGATCTTGTTGAACATGCGGTCCAGCCTCTTGAGGATGAGGATGAGGGCGGGGCGGACGGCCTCGGATGACCAGTCGGTGATGGGCAGCATCTCCATGATGTAGCGCCGCAGCCCTCGGCTCTCCATGGTCAGGGTGTCATAGGGTGCCAGCTTCAGCAGGGCATGGGCGATCTCCGCCAGCCTGGGACAGAAACACACACAGTGCAGCTTCAGTGCAACTTAGTAGCGCTAGATAAGGTATTTTTTTTGTTTTCTTCATGAGTGTACTGCGATGTTCAGAAAAAGCCATGAAAAATTTAATTCTAAAGTGTTACTATTCTATTTACACCTGCACTGCCTCATTTTAAAATCCATTTTCAGATCTTGTGTCCTGAAAAAAGAATGAGATCAACACATCCATCCCCTTTTCAGGCTGCATATGACCAGCAGTGAAAAAAGCTTTTAGTTGATTCACACTTTTCTTTTTGCTTTTGAGCAACTTGCAGGAAGAGAACAATCAACTTACAAACTTTTATCAATGAATCTGATGACAGAAATCTTTCATGAGTGAATCACCTCATGTGGGACTTGATGTCCAGCAGCTCCAGGGCCGTGACCCGCGGCTCACCGGCGACGTTCTGCAGGATTTTGAGTCGCGGTCCGCAGTGTTTGTAAAATTCGGTGCAGATGTTTAAGAGGGACTCCCGTGGCCGGCGGAACTCCTCCCTGGCAATGCGCTCGTCCAGCTCCTCCCTCGGCATTCCCTGGCCCTCCTCCAGCAGGTGGAGGTTGTCCCTGGGCACAGACATTGCATACAAACAGGACCTCAGTCTTGTCTGTCAGACTCCAGACTCCACTTGCATTCTAGCCTACAGTTGATCATGTTATAGTCCTGACCTGGTGTTGACGCCTCCTGACATGGCATGGTTAGCTGTAGTGCCACCCTTATGGCCCTGATCACAGCGGGACATCTGGGGGGCGGTCATGGGCCTGGGAATGATAAAATGAAGAGGATGGTTAGCAACTAAAAGGACATGGCAGCCTCGTGCACTTGTTTTGTTGTTTTCTCTGTTGCATTAGTCAGACCTTGTGAGGGCCTCTGAGCTATAGAGGAGGGCCTGCAGGGATGTGGCCAAAGCCGCGATGGCAGCGATCTCGTCCCTGGCAGCCGAGGCCGACTCCATTGTCACTGTGTTGCTCTTCAGCTTCTGGAGGTGGCAGGGGACCAAGGCCTCCAGCACCATTAGCATCTGGAGACTGGAGAGACGCATGTTAGACAACAGAGAAGGGGAGAGAGGGGAAAGACAATCCTCGATGTGTTTCCATACCTTCTAAAGGATTCAGGGGCGTAGGCGACCACAGTGACACACAGCTTAATGGCCTCGCTGATGGAAAATGCCAAGTCCTCATTACCATAACAAAAATCTGCAACAAGGAAATACAGTTTTGTTTTGTTTCTACAGCTCAAGCACATACATTGCACTGACAAAACAGTAGTAGTAATATATATTAATAATATATATATATATATATATATATTTAGGAGCATTCTATAGACAATGAAATGAAATTCATTTGTGATTGTCCACTACTATGAGCAATAAAAGACCAAAATATGCGTATGTGAAAGTGACAGTTTACCCAGAGAGCGTAGAGGTTTTTCAGCCTTAACCAGCTCCAGAGCATCCAGGGCGTCATGGGTCTCCCCCTCCAGAGAGACCAGCAGGTCAAACAGACACTGAGCTGACACTCCTTTAGACAGACCAGTGCTGGTGCTGGTCTGGGATGGGAGATGAAGAAAGGAGAAGTCCACTTAAGCTGAATTCACAAATTGCAGACATCCAGGAATATTAAAAGTTATGTGTGTATTAAGGAATAAAATGTGTGTGTCTGTAGTCTTACTGTGAATTCCAGCAGCGGAGCCACACTGGCAAACAGCTGCAGGATGAAGGGTTTGCGGTGGAGAACATAGAACTGCCGGCAGCAGAACTCGATGCCCTGCCTCAGTAAAGGGTCGCTCTCATAGTCAGCATAGACCTGATGTAACATACAGAGAGGACAGATTCAGAATCACATTTCTCCCTTTCATACAGCATGTTTGTGGACACATACTGTAGGCAACAGAATACAAAGTTTGACCTTTTTATTTCTACCCGCAATACTATTTAAAAAGAGGAGGCCCCCTTTGTCTTAAATACTTTTGTACTGTTGGCTCAAAAAGAATGAGCAACAAAATGGTGTTAAATAAATATATCCAGTTGCAGAAAAATAAATTTCTATCATTATAATTGGGCTTTTTTTGTGTGTGTTGTGTTTAGTGCTGGGTGTGCTGGCTATATATGTTACACAAGTTGAACACGGTCTTTGGTATTAATAATTTTCTTAAATTAAAAAAGAAATGACTTTATGTTTCCATTAAAATGTTAATAAAGTTTTAATCAAAATGTTGGCAAACCAAAATGTGAATCAGAGAGAGATACATGAATGACTGAGCACCAGTAACTTTGGAATGACCTTCTGTGGCGCTTTTACCTGCAGCATGGTTGGCAGGATCCACTGGTATCCGCTCAGGGAGAAGAGATGGTTGAAGTGAACGGCGGTGTTGATGGCGGTGGCTGTGTACTGTCTGAGAAGGGCGCTGTCCTCCGGGTGCAGCAGCAGGGCCCCATTGAAGACGTTAAGGAACAACATCATCTCGTCGCCCCACGGGTACTCACTGGGCATGCCCAGAAACATTTCCTCCAGCAGCTTGATCCACAGCACCTTGTGAAGGGTGTCCAAACCAAACAGCTCCTTACCTGGTAGAGGGGGAGGAGGAGATGGTGGTAAAATATATCCACTAGAGTGATTGAATGAAGTGTCTGTCCATACAGTTGGAGTCAGCCTCACCTTGTGGCTCGTTGAACAGCGAGAACTCTGCATCGATGGCGGTTCGTGGGAAGGACGGCAGGCGGAGGAGGTCTTCCTGGAGAAGGGAGACGTGGGATTGCTTGTGCACAGCTGGCATGTGTTGTGTGAGGGAGATGAGGAAAAGGACCCGACCGACTTCCTCGAGTTTACGGGAAAACACCTAGAAGAAGAACATAGAGGGAAAAAGAATGGGGAAAAAGTACCATGTTACCACATTACTCTAGCGTGTTCGTTTAATTATTTCATTTAATAGATTCTTAGAAGCAATTTTTTTCAAATCTTCCCTACCTGTTTCTGGATAAGCTCCTGTCCTTTCTCAGGGAGCATGTGGACCAGGTTGAGCTGGGGAGAGACTGATCTTCGAAAGGGGTAGATGTCTCTTACATATGTCTGGAAAAGGTAGATAGCAACATTAGTGTTGGAGAGTAATGCAGAAAGTTCAAAATAACAGCTTAAAATAAAAACAAATGTGTCTACCTTGCTGTAATGGATTAGGTTCCATCGTTTGTCCATGAGGAAGTAGTGTGCCGATCTGGCCTCGGGAATGTTGAAGAATTCCAGACACTCCTGGTTTGGGGAGAGAAAATCATAACTTGACTATTTCCATCTTAGGCTGCTTTACACTTCTTACTCTATTACTTTTACAATACTTTAATTACATTTTGCTGAGAATACTTCTGTACTTTTACTGAAGATTTTAAATGCTCTCCTCAAAAGGTGTCCTTACCTTGAGCAGGGCTTCAAACTGAGTGTCTTCATGGACAGGAAGCTGTGTTGGGATGTCACATTCGTTCTGGCCGTGCACCACCAGTGTTTTGGTTCCTGCACAAACAAGGCACCCCAAAACATTTTTTAGGCCTTAGCTAGGTCTCCATTTAGGAGTCAGTGGGGAATGATATCGTTAAGCAGCATCAGAAAGTTCACCTGGCATGGATGCAGTGACCAGCAGTTTGACCTCACACTGCTCCTTCTTCATGGTCTGCTTCAGGTCCTTGAAGAAGAGCCCTTCCACATAGCCCACCACCTCCCACAGGAAGGTCAGCGTGGCCGAGATTGCGTCCATTCCCCACTCACATGGAGTCCGCACAAAATACATGATCAGTCCCACCTAGGAGAGGAAGATTTGATTGAGAGAATCAATGGTTAACTGAAAGTTTAAAGAGTACTTTAAAGACGAATAACAAATAAAGATATGAGTAAAGTCTGTTGTTCTACCAGATAGTTGAAGAGGATGTGAGAGGTCTGGGCCGGCAGATCTCCAATGTTGAGCAGGAGTTTCCTCAGCATGTACATCAGCTCATCCTGGCAGGCATAGCAACACAATGAATACAAGTCATGTCACATTCTACATTTCCTTTAGCTTCTGCACTCAAGCTGTGTTTGTTTCTCTGGGTGTTCACCTACCTGTCGGTTGCTCACTGTCAGTTTTTCCAGGAAGTGACGGAGAACCAGGGCTGGATCTTCAATCAGGCAGTTCCAGAGGATTTGTTGGGCAACAGCACTCACTGAAGAAACATTGAAGGAAATATGTGTACTTGCAAATACAGTATACGACCAGTATTTGGAGAGTAGACCCACACAAGGACAGGAAAATCTATCAATATATATTTTTTTATGTTTTGGTCCAATACTGTGCTGATAAAATATCTAATTAAGGGCAATGTATCCCTTTTATTTAAACACTGAGGCAAAAGACACTCACCTGCCACACCATCTTCTCGAACCTCACCGTCCTCCATGAGGTGCACTATGGGTAGGACTGCAGCACAGATGCATGCTGGGAAGACGGCTTGGGGCGGCTGTAACATGTGGTGAGTAGGAGTGTGTTCTGTTGTGTTTTCTTCATCTAGAAAAAAGTGAAAAAATAATACTTCTTAGTGGCTGCTAAGGGACACTAGATTTACAAAAAAAAGTCATTGTCAGATTTTTTCATACCTTCAGCGCTGGCCAATGAGCGAACAGACCACACTGAGCCCCGACGGAAAGAGTAGTTCCTGTGGGAGTTACTGGAGGCACAGGAGGGGCTGACTGACAGACGGCGTGATGCCAGGTTCACCACTTCTTCTGCTGGCGGGATCAATGTCCGACACGACCAGAACAGAAACAGAAAAAACAACATGCTATCAGGGCACAGGGCTATCAGCAGCTTGCCAATTCCCATCAAACCTGTGTATTTATAAGTATAATATAATCTGTATGTGCCTGGCAGCCCCACCTTCTTCCTCTTGCTCAGGCGGGGGGCTGCATGTGGGCTCGTAGCAGGCCTCTTGAGCCGCTGGGATGGCCGTAATAATGCTGGCCTCGCGGCCCAGACGCCGCTTCTCTTCCTCCTGCTGCAGGTTCTTCAGGATGTGCTCGGCCCGCTGGTGGGAACGCGACACCGCCCGCGCCGAGAAGGATTTCTGGACAGGGCGAGCATGGAGGGTGGGCGTTGGATCAAACAGCACACAGGAAGAACAGCAGGTGCAGACATACAGAGAATTCAGAATGAGGGAATGCACAAAATTAATACAAATTTGACAGTTTAAATCTTTCAGGAACGTGTGTGCACGGCTATTCTAGGCTTACGGTTACATCTGAGGAGCATTTTGTAATGTAAAATGACCGGACAACACATTAATACAGTAACTCTCCTCCAGCACATTAATCTCATGCTACAATGCTATCGAATAGGAAAGATTTCAATCATGACAAATTGTGACACAAATAAATGTATTCAGACTGGAATTTGGAGAATTTACTGTATCTTGTGTACAGTAAATGCCTCACAGCATTCACACGAGTGCTCATACATATACATATCCAAATAGGCTGAACGCATGATATGAAAAACATACACAGCAAAGTCATTCTCATCCAATGACCATGCATAAACAGCACAACACACACAAAATGTCTAAGTGTCCGATGCATGCTGTTATTTTTGTTCTGACAATCAGAGCGCTAGAACACTTTTTGAGTGTGGTGTGTTTCACTGATCAAGATGCAATTATCTGAAATGACCCATGAAACTTCCCCAGCTTCTGATCCATGATGAAAACCTACAGCTCCCAATGGGCTAAAAATAAAACAATTAAAAATTAAAAATTAAAAACTCAATGGATAAAATTTTCCCGCCTGTCATTAATGATCTGAGGTAACAAGATGCATCAGCACAAACATCCGGACAGAAATACCAACTTACTATGGTATGGACTGACTGAATTAATGTGGAGTACTAAAAACAAAGACAGTCGATAGATAAATTATAGAAACAGGTGCTCGCAGGTCGTCATCAAAATCTATTAAACATATTTTGATAATCATGCTTCTTAACAAAAAAAGACAAAAAAGTAAAAGGAAACACCAAGAAATCTGTTTTTACCACTTTAAAAGACCACTCTAACCTTGAAAATTTATTTTTTCTTAAACTTGCAGATTTCTTGGTGCAGTTGTCCACATTACACTTGCAGAGCAATAACAAATGTATTTTAAAGCAGTCTAAAGAGCATTGTGTCTGCTTTTGGTATGTGATGTAAAGCAGGACTCAAAATTTCAAAATAAGATGCCCACTATTAAAAACAGACCTTCTTTACATGAACATTTATCAGTTTTACATTTTCATTCAGAAAAAAAAATTAAGAAAAAAACACATTTTCTCACTTACCCCTAGTTGTATATAGCCATCCTGGTAGTTTAGATTTAGTTTGATCACCTTTTGAGATATTTGTGTGAACCTCCACAGTCCACAGCCATGTTAGTGGCTCTGTGAGGCTGTACTTAAGCTTACTTATGCTTTGTGTTAAATGCTAACGTCATTGTTATTAAAATGCTAACACGTTATACGCCATAGTCACCATAAGTCATTACTTTTCCAGGATTTGGCCATTAACCAAAGTATAACATTTAATTATCAGGTCAAAATTGTGACCATAAATTAGTTGTGGAGACGTTTCACTTGAAATGTAACCCAAATGTTAGCCTAATGGTGGTACTAGAGCTAAAAAGTCAGTAGGATTCATCTTGGAAACCATTAATGTTTGTACAAAATTTAACAACAATACATAAAATGTTGACCCATGCTGTCATCCGTAGAGCTGCGACGCTTGCATGGCTAAAAATAACGGCACTATGTCTTTCTAGAAACAGATTCCCTACTTCTGCTGTTTTATGGATAACCTCAATATCTCAAAACCTGGACAAATTAATTACAATGAAAACAATCTGCATGGCTAGATAGCACTTCAGGTAAGTGATAAAATCTGGGTTTTTTGGGGGGCTATAAATGGCCCTTTTAGTTTTTTAATGTGAAAGAAACCTGACTACCCAACCCTGGTCAGTTTGTTTGCCACAGGTGCTTTTGAAAGTCAGTATGAATCACATAAAATGGATTAACCACATATTAAAAGTGATTCAAAATTTTTAATAGTACTAAAAATAAAATCTCCTAGCTATTTTGAAAGTGTTTATTACAAAATGTGAACGAGGCTCAGACTTACAGACTGGTCTTCATTGATTGGGTCCTGGACGCTGCCTGTGTTCTGGGGCACCCAGGGGGGGTCAAATATGGGGACACATGGCATGCCCAGTATAGGGGATGGTAGGGTGAAGTTGATGCTAGGTGGAGGGATCTGAAACAACAGACAAATATAGAAAACAGTTGGTCAAAGTAGCTTAGTTTTATGTTCTAAATTAAATATCTAGGCAATCTGAGCTAACATAGATCCAATTATTAGTGGAAGTGTAAACAGACCTTTCACTTAACAAACAAACAAACAAAACAAAATATGACACCATTATTACTCTGTACCTTAAAGATCTGCTGGGCTCCTTCCTCCATGCGAGGCCACACCTGGTAGCGGAAACGCCACAGCGTGTAAAACTTTAGGATGGAGTTGATGCGTTGGCAGGCCTCCTGGTGATGGAACTCTGCCCTCATCATTTCGGTCACCGCGTCGGGGACCTTTACCGCACACAGGAGGAACATGGCAGCTGGAGGGGATTCAGAGAGGGCGGTGGGGGGAGGAATAACGAGAGACAGAAATAAAAAAGGGAGTAAAGAGGGCAGAAAGAGGAAGAGATGGAAAGGGCAGGAGAGAAATAAAATGGCAAGCGTTAGAATATAAAGCATCTGAATATCTAGGACAAAATGTTTTTCCACTCTATGAGTAAAACTAACTTAAGTTAAATGGTATTTTTTATTTTAACAAAATAAAGTACGTCGTGTATCCTTTCATCATCTAAAATCGTTGACATTTATGAACTCTGAAGGGCACAACAACCTACAGAGGACACAAACAGATCACTGATGCACAGCCTGATGGCCGACTCACCAGCAGCAGCTGCCATATGTTCATCTACACTGAGCAAGAGCTCCCAGGCTGCGGGCTGGACGTCTCCATACATGTCGTCAGTTAGGATGGGAGCTGCCTTGATCAGCAGCGAAAGAGGAGCTGGTGACAAGCTCATCACCTGAAAGAAATATATTTCACATATTATGAAATATTTTGACAAATCTGACAAATCATCGCACTTTGCAAAACATGCACTGTGCAATTTTTGTTGTTACTTATACCAAGATCATAAGGTGCATCTTTTCCATTTTTCTCAAGCATGACGTAATAGATGGATGGCAGAAAGTGTGCCAGAACTAGTATTCCTAATGCTTTTTCCCTCTTTAAATTGAAGACAGTAAATCACACACCCAAGGAAAGACTGGGATACACTTAATGCTCTACGATGAACAAACTCATCCTGTCCAAGTTTAAAGGATGTTTCACAAATTAATATATGGGAAATGGAAGAAGAAGGAATTGATAAATTGCAATTTCTCCTCTGACTTCATCCATTATTTTAAGAATCTGAATAATTAATTCTTATAACTACTTCACCTGGTTGCGTATGTACTTGAGCATCCCGGTATCCTTCTTCCCTTCTGTGTTGGAATCAGTGGGTCTCCTCTTCATGGACGGGGTCCTCAGGCAAGACTTGTCTGAACACTGAAGGCACAGAGACTTTTTATAAACCACCACAAAAAACGAGGTTTAAAAACCAAATAGATAGTTAGTGAAACCCACCTCTTTATTCTTCTTGGCACGTGTGCCAATGTTACCAGAGGAGGTGCTGTCCTCTCTCAGGCTGTCCACCGTCTCGCCATAAACAAGCTTGATGGCGCGGACCAGACGGGCACAGGAGCGGCTGTGGTGCTGGTAGCAGCGTGGGTGGCAGAAGTCTATGTGGGTGCAGATGAAACTCTGCTGGTTGCACAGCAGGATCATAATCTGTGCCGAGAGAGAGAGGGGCAGTCAGTATGTAGGAAAGATGGCGTCATATGCACGCATACACTTCCACATGTATTAAAGGACGTACATGGAGCCAGGACATGTTGCGGTGGTAGTTGTCCTCTGCTCCTCCTGAGCTCGGGCCCTCTGGTTCTATGCTGGGTTCACTTGTGCTAAATGGACTGCCTGCATGGAGAAACAAGATAATGCAAATGTAAGAGAGAAATGTTTAGATGTGGATGTGGCGCGTGCTGGAAACATAACTGAATTAATTGTGACACTTTGGGATTAGTAAACCAAACAAATTAGACTCCTAAAATGTAAGTGTAAAGTGTAAATGTCTCTAACCTCATAAGTCTACCTTTATGCATTAAATGGGTTTTCTGTGCAATTTCAAAATATTATACAGTATTACAGAGTATTTGGCTTCTTTAAATTGCCTACCATGACAACAAACATCTTTTTAGCTAGGCTTTCATTTGGAAAATAGTGCCCTCGCTCTATTCAGTGCTTAAAAAAAAAAAAAAACTGTAACCTGTGCTGTAAAGTCCATAAAATCCCAATGGCAAATAAGGTAAATAAAATACATTGTAAGTAGTCTTGTTTAAAAACTAATGTGGCAATGATTTGTTAATGTCAAACTACACACTACACTACACCAAACAAATGTGTTTAATACAACTTATTTATATTTTAAACATTATATTTCACATTATAGTTTCTTTTAATGTGTGAATGTGTGAAACAAAATAATATGTCTTGCCTATGTCAGTAACAGTATCCCTGCTGTGTGTTTGTGATAGGAGCCCTTCTTCGTTCTCCGATTCAGAGTCCTGCCGTGATAGCTTCGTGCTCTTGAGGCTCCCCGCCCTGCGTATGGAAGACAGGGAACCCCCTTTCTTTATACGGAAACTGCGAGCCCCTTTGATCTGAAGCAGCCGTGAGCCTCCGATACGAATCTTACGGATGGGTGCTGGAGAAGAGGGAAGTGGGGGGACATCATCTAAATTATTTATAATATTAATAAGAAGACAGGAACATGATAAACCAAATGGCCTAGTCTGTACGACACCAGATCTAACCTTGAGCTTCCTGTGTCTTCTTGTCATCGCACGTGGTGTCAGATTTCAGTGTATGGCTGCTGCTGTTGAGTGAGTCGTGTCCGTCCTCGTCATCAAGGATGCCCGCAAAGCTGATCTTTCTCTCATAGCGGTGGCGGCCTAGCTCTGGGTCCAGACGCAGGCGGCAGCTGTCCAGATCCTACAGGTATTTTAAGTTTCCGGGAAATTTGACATTGCATATTATTGATACAAACACATATTTAATGTCTTATTGCTTTTAGTATGTACTTATGCAATGACCAAACTTCCTCAGAGAAGCTTTAAATTTTATCAGTTTTAATGACTAGCAAAAGCTGGACAATACAGACACTGAATGCACATATTTTTTGATTTGACTACTGACCACGAGTGGTTCAGTGCGTGGGCGTGGTAGGCACGGAAAGGTTTCTCGTAGGAAAGTGGTGATTTCCAACAGCAGCTGGCAGGCAGCCATCTTGAGAGCAAAGGGGCAGCCACATTTTGTAGGGTTGACTGTATCTTTGGGGTGAGAATTGATATTTAAATAAAAATCATTAAAACGTTTTTGTGTTGTCAACATATAGAAGATGTACAAAACAAGTTAAAACAATGATGTATTAGTAAAACAGATTTAAAAAGTAAAACATTATTGACCTTGAAAGTTAATTCTTGACCGTGGAAATTGTTGACATGGTGACTCAAGGTCCATTTACTAGCTTTTTCCATAGCTTTCAACCGCATCTTGGTCTTCCTGAACATACTACTAAATACTACATACTACTAGTACTATTATAGCTAACACAATCTACTGAGGAAGACCCTTAGAAGTGGCTGAACATACCAGAAAGAGGTAGTAAGTGACCTTGAGTTTTTTTTGTCTAAGAAACTTAAAAAACAAAATCTAAAACACATTTGTGCAAAATCTTAAATTAGTTTAGAAGGAACTGAGAAATAATTTTTAATTGAATATAGATTTATCTGTAAAAGACTAATATTTTTTAAAGCCATAACGACAAAACTTGTTCTGTTAACAAGTATGCGCTAAACACTCTTCTTACTCACTGTCATCTAAATAATCTTCTTCCTCGTCTTCTTTTCTCATTCTCCGTTTGGTCTCTTCATCAAAAATGTAACCCAGGATATTTGCAGGACTTTCGCTGTCAGAGTGACAGAGTTCGCTGAGCCTTGTGCCGATTGCCTTAGTGGGTAAAACACATGATAACACTTAATGAAGTCATATTTTAAATTGATGGATGAATAGCAGATCAGAGAAATTTTAGAAATCTTTAACTCACATCTCCCCACTGGCAGAAATGTTTGGCAGCGTTCCACTGGAGTTTTTGGTTTCTTTTGTTGCCCACAACAGGGGATCGGCCCCTGGACAGGCCTCTCTTGGTTATATTTACGTGGTGGCCCTTCATCCACTCTGGCCAGTTGCCACGGTTGCAGCGGTGGACAAATCGTGCGCATTCGAGGAAGAGAGAGGCCCGGGCCACTACTGGAGCTTCCTGGAAGAACCAGAAAGTACAGTTGTTTTAATAAAACAGCCTAAGGGGATGTGTTCACACGGATGCAAAATGGAAGGATTAGAATCTAAAACATACCAGGTCCAGAGCGGCAGCGAGGATGGAGGCGTCAGGTATGGTTCCCGGTTCGCAGCAATTCAGGAGGAACTGAAAGCGTTTCATGCCCTGTCGAATGGCGCCCAAATTCACCACATTCTTGTTCTTCATGGCCTCCTGGCTGGCTGCTAGACGCTCTTGAAAACCATGGGGTCCTGAAGGAGAGTATGATCAGAAGAACAAGAAAGGAGAAGAGAAGAGAGTATAACAGAACAAATGAAGGGATCTTTTTATAATTTAATTTTGGGTTTAATCGTTGGCAAAGTAAAGACTGCACTGAAGATTACATGTAGACATTGCATGAAGCAACATCACAATCCAGGACATTTAAGAAAAAGCACTGAAATGAAGCTGAGTGAGAGATGGACACACAGCCATCAGCTGTGGTTACACTTGGATTCTCAATTGACTATGTGATCTCAGGGACACAAAAAACGCTTACGTGTTCACGAGAAGTGAAAAAAAAAATATGCAGACCATTTTCAGGTCTTTTATACAATATATTTTTTTATAATGGGTTCTAATAAATCACTTTAAAGTGACAAGTGTAACCACAGCAGTACAGAAGAAAGCTGTATGTGAATCATTCTGTTTGATCACCTCACTGAAACTCAGGCGTCGGAAAATACCACCAGACATCACCACAGAAGAGACGGAGAGAGCACCGACAGCATCATGCTTGAGATAGCACAGCTCTACAGTAGAAAGATGGTTTAATAGACATGAACTTTTCCCACACACCTCCTTTCCTCTCTTTCCATCGTTAAGTAGAAGAAAGAGAAAGGGGTTCAGCGTTGAAGGGAACAGGACGTGCATAGTTGGAAATGTAGAGTTGGTAATACACAGTTGAAGAGTGTTCTTCGAGACTTTTTCATTGTAATGCCAAAATCCGCTGCTCTTTAGAAAGAAAAAAACGTACAATCTCATTCCATTTGTGACGTACTAGTCTACTGCTAATGAAGATTTCAACACATCTGAATGTCTGGCATTGTGATCTTCTTTAACTAGCAATAAAGTAATTGTGCAATTTTTGTTTCATTGCACAAGTCAGTGTAAAACACTGCTAACCCGCTAGCCGGCACGGGAGCAAAAAGTGACTCCCCCAAATTAGTTTGGTTATAATTTAAGAAAATGCTCCAAGTAAGCATAATATTTTATAAAATATTTATTTAAAAAAAGATTTTTACACCATTGCCTTCCACAAGATGGGGCTTCAAGATTCAGCGCCTCAGACTAGGAAGTTGCCCACTTTAACTGGTTGGTAATCCAGCCTTGTAAATTTTGTTTGTGTAGTATTTTGTGTTTTCCAAAACAAACAGCACATAAGTAAAAATGTCTGGCAATGATTTATTATTTAACAGATACTGCAGCCAAAAGTAGCAATTATGGCGTAATGGCATGTTGAATTTTCAAGATTTGCTTGAGCCATTTGGCTTAAAGACATCATTTTTGAAGCGAGTGGAATGGGACTGCAAGTAGAAAAACAACTGATATGTCTCCTGGTGAGTTACGGTGTGCTAAAATCTCATGTAACAGTAGCACAAGTAGAGAATGCTAGCATTATCTAAAATTATCCCCTAAGCTACCTGTCATAGTAGACCAAGTGATGCTGCAGCAGTTAAATGTATTGAATATTGAATCTTGCTTTAAAGTGCTACAACTGCATTGTCTTACATGAACTTTTTTGGAAGCTACAGATCGTGCCAATCATTCAGAAAAGTGCATTTTCACAAATTAGACACTGATGGGTTGAAAATAATACATTCAGGCTAACGGAGTGTAGCAGGCAGCTATCCGGCGGAGCTGACATAAAGAACTGGCAGAAGAGAACAGACCACGACTTGCGAGGCGAGACAAGACACGACACCACACCACACGGACAAACAAGAGGCAAGAGCAGGAAGAGAGAGAGAAATAAACAAAGGACGATGGGGTGTGGGTGATCAAGGGGCACCCCGGGGTGGGGGAGGTCTACCATCTTTCTCTTCTGTGTGGTGAAGCTTGGATGGATTCCTCCGGCCAGACCTCCATTTACCGAGCCGCTTGAAGAAATTCTCCTCCTCGTCCCTGGCGTACTCTGGCCCCACCGCGCCCCCCTCTGACAGCTTCACCGCACTGGTGAACTTGACCTAAGACACACGGACACACACACACATACAAAACAAAGCCATGTTTAGACAGAGAGGCCGATCAAATCAAATACTGAAATGTTAGTTTTTATGATTATGTTAATGATAATGTGAGCTGTATGGGTGTGGGTGTGGCTGACTGCAACACACTAGTATGTTAGTATCCCCTGACCTTTGAACTCTGCCGTATAAAGGAGAGTCGATCCACTGAGCTGATATCGAGCAGGTCCTCAACACCGTCAGTCAGTCCAGAAAGAGAGGAACGCTTCAGCCAGTTGCCTAGATACATGTGGATAGAAAAAAATGCACATAAACAACCAACACCACAGAATAACAGGAAGCCACAAATTTACTGTACACACTCGGTTATGAAGGCAAGTGCACATGCACACACACAAGGATTGAGTAGGGGAAGCATTCCCGCATTGTTATTGAACACATACGTTCAGGGTATTTAAAGTCACAAAGATTCACAGACTGAGGTTCATTCAAAAATGATACAAAAGGTACAAAACTAACTTGTGTCACTTTTTATTAGACGACTTGAACAAAAAGACCCTTGTCGAGTGGTATTTGCAAATACACTTATAGTAAATTAGCTTTACCTGGAGTTTAGCGAGCTGTTAAATAACTATTTAGATATGTGGAATAAAAAGTGAATTACTAAAATATTGGTTTGACATGTTTCATTGAATTTGACATAGTGGCCGAACTGTGTAATTACAGCACTGGCTCAAAAATACTTTTTCCCATAAGGTTACATTATGAAAGAAGCGACTGTACAACAGTGAATAACAATTTTGAACTTCACAACCCCCTCCAAACAGCTAGCTTTCACTTGATAGAACTCAGCTGTGTTATTAGCTGTAAATGTGTCTGCCTTTGTAGGCCAGTATGTGCCAGAGAGAAAAGTCTTGTTTCCTGCAGCACCCTTCATCCATCTAATACAATTTGCAAATACAATTTGACCCAGGTCTGGAACACTGTGCACATCGGGAGAGATGACCAACACAAACAGACGTGACACAAATACTGTATGAAGATGGCTCCACATCCACATACGTAAGACAGAGAGAGTGAGTGGTAGGCGAACAGTCCCACGGCATGCTAAGGCACAAGAAGGAACACAAAACAGACCAAAGAGATGAAGTGACTTGGCCTTGCGGCAGGCAGTGTTCCGATGTTAGACAAACAAAACATGTTAGAGTGAATTTCAAGGCGATAGCTGGGACAGCAAATGCAGTAAGGGATGGTCATGAAAATACATACTGTGACCAGATCTAATATAAAAAAGAATGATTTGGTAGCTTTGTTAGACAATGAAATCAGTCAATATTAGACACTCTTAACTTTTCAAGTGGGTTTGCATTCATATCACTTGTTAGGTGAAAACAAATCTACGCTGAAACTGACACATACAACAGTTTTAAAATTTTGATCTTACACTATAGAATTTGGTATAATTGACATTTTGCTGGATTTTGCCAGAGCCCAAAAAATGACTTACCACCTATGACCAAAATATATATATATTTTTTTTATTGCAGTCCTGATCTTGGTCTCTTCTGAAAGCTAACTCAAATTTATAATAACGAAAATGTACAGTAATACTAAAACAAATTAACAGAAGCACAAACATTGATAGAAATTTACTTTTTTTCTTTTCTTTTATATGCACACTTGTTACAAAATAAACAACTGTCGTTGCAGTGAAAGAAAGCATTGACAGGCTTTGTGCTTTCAGACCTGTGTCAAATCAGAGGTAGACTGCATAATAAGTGCTCTTACCTATCGGCAGCTTCAGCTTCTTGCGAAGCGAAATGCGGCGCGATCTGGAACGGGAGCGCCGGTCAGTGGTGGTGCCGGAGTGGGCAGTAGTGCACTCGGACGTGTCCTGCTCTGATTGGCTGCTGGTGTCACTGGCGGCACTCTGCGACTTGAACATCTTCCTCCAAAAATCCTTCCTGCCCAGCAGAGCACCTGGGATCTGTTCATCACTGGCGGTGCAGAGAGGGAATGCAGTCGGATTTGATTATTTATACAAGGATGACGACTTGAAGTTTTTACAGTTGGTATATCTTTCAGTGTGAATTCAACGTGACCTGTTAAAGGGGCAGAGGGGAGCAATAGGAAGAGTTTTAAACGTTTTTAAGCAGAGAAATGGCAGCTGGGCACGACAGATGGTGCTATATGGAGATGCTGTGAGGTGGACACTCACTGTTCGGGTGTCTGGGGGGGTCTACTGGAGATGTAGCTGCGACACTCATCTGCAGCACTGGACACCTGACCCTTCTCCCCGGACACACCCGCCTCGGACCTGCGAGCGCACACACACACACCCACCCAACACACAGACACCAACTGAACTCTCCGGATGCATTGAAGCATACCCATGTGATCCTTCCATTGAAACTTTAGATGTTTAGTATCTAAAAGTATTTGCCTGTTTGATATCGACCAATAATTTTAAACAATTCTATAATATCCTAAAGAATTTATAACATGTAAGTAATGTAATTTTGCCGTTGTTACACTTTATTCATCCCTGTAAGAGAAAATCTGCTTTCCGCACTGCATTGGCTACTTGTCATATATACTTACTACCATATACTTTTATATAAATTTCTGTCATATCTTGTCATCATATTGCAGGTTTACAATATTAGTAAATCTTTTGCAGTAAAAGTATAGAAAAGGAAAATGTGCAGAAAAACAAACATAGTAGTAGTGCCATTTTATAATTGTCAGTTTCATAGCTGCAGTGCTTTAACACGAAGTATAAAATCACCTGAACTAACTCAAGAAAGAGGTACATTTCTGTATAATCAGGCCTAACACCTGACATGCATGTCTTTTGGGGGAGGAAACTGAAGCCCCTACAGGAAACACAAGCCTTATGTGTAGTGTTTGCGTGTTTAGCCATGGGGCCACCATGCTGCCCACTGCAAATCTTGCAATCATGTTTGGTGCCTGGTGAACTGTAATGTTATGATTCAAAGGTAGTCCGTCCGAGGCAGGTTTGTTTTAAGTGTCTCATCTTTATTCAGTTCAGTTAACCAGACCAAACAGCTGTGTTTTGTGTGTAAGCCACTGCACATAACTGGACAGTAAGCTCTTCGGACAAATCAACTGTGACTATCAAGTCACATCTTATTTTAGTGGACTTGGAAGACTAGAGGACCTGGATGCAGCACACTGGGCATTCTCCACAAAAGGCAACTCTGTCTTAATCACATGACCTTGTAGTCTAGAAGCAAAATATGAGCAATGGTTATTTAAACTTATTCAAACTTAGATTTAAGATAATATAAAATCATAGATAGCTGTCATGGGACTTCCATTTCCTGTTTGGTGGTCACATGATGAGACAAAAATAGTGCAGGTGCCTCCTGGCAGCACTGCCCAGTATGCTACATCATTTTGTAAGTAAGAACATCGAATCAGTCACTCAAGCAAGAAAAACAGATGCAGACAGGACAGAAAAAAACATAAAGAAATAAAAACAGCCAGCAGTGATGAGAAGCATAACTCTGATTTGTCAGAAAGGAAGAAAGGAAGACCTTACGCGACCAATCACTGGGAGTAGATGAGAAATATTTTGCTACCACTTAATAAGGGGAAGGGTTTTTGGGCCATGATGTAATTGAGACCACTTCCCACCGCTGATTGGCCAGTACCTCCTGTGTCCGGGCTGTTTGGTCTCCTCCTTTTCTTCCGGTTTCTTAGTGGCGGTAACCTTCTCTGCGCTGTCCAGGAGTGCGCTCAGCGCCACCCTGCGGAACACGTTTCCATGTGCTTCCTTAATGAACTGCACCAGCTGGCGGATGTCACAGTACAGGCCCTGGGAAGGAGGAGGGTGGCAAACAAGTGAGAGCGAGGGATGTGTGAGTCGAATGGTGTGCGAATGAGAGAGTGTGTCAGAAGAATAAGAAGAAGACACAAAGGAAACTGACTACTTAGAGCTAAAATCAGGCTGATATTACATTGCAGTTAGCATCAAACAGTGTGTATGTTTGCACATGCATTTATGCATAAAGAGGTGGTGTATATGAGCACGCTTGTTTGTTCAGACACCAGGTCCAGCTTGTGAGTGGGTGGCCTCTGATTCTGTGCCATAATAAAGCCTGTCTTGAAAAGTGTGTCATCTACCGCCAACGTACACAAGTCATGCCAGGCTTGAGGCTTTTGATGCACCATGTACGTGGTACCTAAGTGCTCTTAGAGAGTTGATTCACACAGATTTAACAGGAAAGAATGCACCATTTGCTAAATTAGATTAGATTCCAATTATGTGAAAGAGTATGTGCTATTGAAATAAAATTACCTGACGTTATGTTGCTTGCTAACACTGCGTTAAAGTGTTAAAAGCCAAAAATCTAAATCAAGACTGCTGTTTTATTTGCTTTATTACACTTGCACTCTGAACTGCTAACTGCTCTGAAACTGTAAACCTTTTCTATTATATTTTGTGTATTTTTTAGCTTATTCTTTATTATGTTTTAAGCGTTCTACTACATTTCTTTGCCTTTTGTAAAGCACTTTGAATTGCCTCTTTGTTTGAATGATACTGTACAAATGAGCTTGCCTTGGTAAGGATACAAGGATTTAGGTATTTGACGAAACACTACAAGACCAGTCATTATGTGAGATACATAAAGAGAAGTTATTATTATTTTGTGTAAGGTAAGACTGTCTCACAGAGAAACTGCCAAGCAATTCAAAGGACCTTTGAGAACTCCGGCATATGTTCTAGAAAAAAACTGAAATGATCTCACGTTAATGTCTTTTTACTCACAGAATGATATCAAGTACACTTAATGTCCAATTCATCACATATGACAAGGCATTAATTAACAAAGGCAGCATAAGTGATTGTTCTTCAGCCTCAGTAGAAAAATTAGCCATTAATAATTCAACTACAACATCGCGCAAAAAAGTCTGCATCTAATGGGAGTACAACCGATATGTGAAACGCAGACCGAATATCTGAAGTACACCAATTGAGAGAGTCACAGAGTCTGGAAATTAAAAAACAGACACAGACAGAGAGAGGCAGATGAACAGTTGATTTCACACACCACTCACCAGGTTCTCGGGGCTGTGCAGCTCATGTGTGGTGGAGGCGCAGCGGGTGATGAGGGACTTGAACATGCATCCCACCACCACTGCCTCCATATTCTGCGCCACAGACTTGTTGTCCCCGGTGGTGAAGTTGTTCCCGAAGCCCGCCTTGTCTGGAAGCAACAGGGAGGCGGGAGAGACCACGGATCACACAGGGGGTGGTTTAGTCAGCGGGGGGAAAACGTTATTGAGAGCTGACCCACTTGAGTATAAAACATGGAGCCCATACAATAGGGAGGAAAGGGTGGGGGTGGGCAAAGTAAAAGGGTCCATAAAGCATATGGGGGAGAAGCAAACTGAAAAGGATTTTGGGTAGGGAATAAGGAATACATGCAAGTGACTAAGGCCTGCTATAAAAACATACAGTAAGGGGCTTATTCTCTTGGTCCAGTAAGATGAAACTTATCTATGCAATAATGTCTATGCAAAAAATAAATACCAGATTTAATCATACAAGTCTAAATTTGATTGGAGTTGCAGGCGAGTTTTGTCACTTTTGGAGAGAGTGAGGGGTGCAGCAATGGAAGCGGTGCCTAGGGAAGGGTCTGATCGGGTGAGTATATTCATCTTATTGCTAATATTATTGGCTGTTATTAATCATGTGTATCTACCGATGTTTCTTTTTTTCGCCCTCCTGGACCTCTCACCTGCACTGCCGTACTCTGCAAGAGAAAAGAGGCGGGGCACAAGTTGATTGACATCAGGCCAGCACAGACATGTACGCTGTGTCAGAAAGGACGTGGCACCCCCACCTCCGGAAGGAGGTGAACTCGAGACGCACACGCACAGATTACCACGCGCAAACATAACACACACACACACATACACGTACACCAAAAAACTAAACAAGGTGCCCTGTTCACTTTCAGATTTAAAACACTCATCGGTTCAGTAACTTGCCAATTGCACAGTATTGTAGTGACCGTGTGCAAAACTGAATTGGCATGTACAATGTGTCTCAATGCTCAGCAATAAAGCCACTGATTGAGCAGAGATGCAATGGGGTAAAGCTTTGGATTGGCAAGTGTACAGAATGGATGAGTGAGTAAGGAAGGTAGGATTTCAGCTCATTGAAGTGGATGAAGAAAAAGATGGAAGCAGGAGGAGGAGGACAAAAAGGGACACAGACAAGCGGAGACAAGTGGTAGGAGGAAGGGAAAAACATATATAAACAGAGATAGCACTGGAATGCAAAGTCGAAGTGCGGGGTGAGACAGCGGTAGTGCAATTCAGCTTTGTCAACCACACTAGAATTATTTTATTATTAATTGTTGAAAAATGTTAACTCTTTATTTTATACTTCTCTATGTTGTAGCACCCACATTAGACCTTCGAGTGGTGTATTTGAATGAATTATAATTCTTTAATAAACATAACAGAGCTTGCTTGAGTGTAAACATCTGAGCAGTAGTGCTGAAACGATTAGTCAATTAATTGCCAACTATTTTGAAAATGTTATATTTGAGGCCATTTCTGAAAAACAAATGGCAAACATTCACTGCTTCCAGCTTCTTGAATGTGAAGGTCTGCTACTTTTCTCTATTTGGTGTCACTGTAATTAAATATCTTTGTATTTTGGGTTGTTGTCAAAACAATAAATTGGATTAGACATTACATTTGAGTTTGAGAAATCGCGATGGCCATTACTAGCCAGTGTGGCTCTAGGCACAGCAAAGTAAGCTGATTGGTCGGCCCACCGCTGTGGTTCAGACTGAAATATCTCAAAAACATGTAAGCACTGTTATCGTGAGCATGTTAGCTGACTTTTGCATCTACTTCAAAACCTTGCTGTGCCTGGAAGCACAGCCTACCAGAGCTAATCTTGTTTACTTTTTCTGACATGTTGCAGAATTAATCACTTCATCCAAAACATAATTTTCAGATTAATGGGAAATAAAAAATAATTGTTAATCGCAGCCTACTGCACAGAATATTGACTTTTTGCAGCATCAGTCCTAAACTGAATGGTTTCAGGACTTAAAAACCAGCGTCGGTCAAACCCTGATGCACCCTATTTGTGCATTTGCTACCAGCGCATACGTATAATTTTTGTGTGTCAAGATCTTCATCTGGTCCCACTCACTCACACCACATACTTACTGTCAGTAATGGGCTCCATGCAGAAGCCCAGCAGCGCATGCAGGAAGTCCACAATATTATTGAGAGAGTCTTTGTTGACGTACTCGCGCATTGTCTGTCGAAACTGCACCTTGTCCAGCTTGTAAAGGCTGGTCAGGCAGTTCTGGGCCTTAAAGGAGAGAATTGGAAGATGATATATTAGGAAAGAAGTCGCTGTGCATTATGAAATATTGACATGAATCAATGTTTTTGAAGCTGGCCTGCTCTGTTTTAAAAATAAGTCAGGTAGTAATAAAGTGGTTTTCTTTGGAGGATGTGCTATTTTCATCACTTTTCATTGATTCTCGTGAAAGATATCAGCTTTCTAGCATTTTATGTCTCCTATCCAACTTAATCTGATAATAAAAAATATTGATCAGCATTGAAATAGAACTGCAGCTGCGGCTCACTAAAGTTAGAAACTCCCTTGCAGGATTAGTTTCAATTTCATGAAACCTTTAGCACACCAAAGGAGCAATATGGTTAATAATTAATAGAAAATGAATAAATGTCAGGCATCACAAAACTGTGCTGATTTGTGAAAACTGCACACACATCAGAGGAGGGTCATTTAAGGCAGAAAGAAGAGTCTGACCTGCATCCTGAGGCGGTCTCCAGACAGTCCGCGGTGTCCCTCGCCACAGCCGTAGGCACAGCCCAGCGACTTGACTATCTTTATCAGCATGGTCAGAGCCAGGCGGTGGGTGCTGAAGCCAGAGCCCTCTCCCTGTTCATGGTGAAGGACACAAACATGAACACACAGTTTTAGGTAGATATATTTAGATGTTTGTAACCGCTACGACCCACTTCCAAAAATACAGTAGGACCACACCTTTTTATCATTATCCTTGTTATTCTTCACATCATCCTTGCTCCCCTGCCCACTCCCTCCACCACTGCCGCCTCCTCCTCCACCTCCGCCTCCATCTCCCCCTCCACCTGCTCCTGCGCCCGGGACTGCCCCGCCTCCCTGGGCGCCTCCCCCGTGGCCCTGGCCCCCTGCGTCTTTTGCTCGTGCCTCCTGGTTCTCCTTGTTGTCGGGCTTGGACAGTTTCTTGCCCATGCCGGGCACCACGCCCAGCTGCAGCAGGCAGTCGATGATGTTGAGGGCCACATCGCAGATCCTGGAGCTGATGTCGTGGCTGAGGACAGCATAGAGAGCCCGCAAGACTGCCTAAAATACAAGAGGGAGGAAGAAAAGGAGAGAAATTGTTTAAAAACATCATAAGTTGCCAAACAACATGAAGAGGACAAAGATGAAAAGGGACTGTTGTATTAATCTACAAAAGAAAGCAGCAAATTCGTCATTTTCTACAATTTGGAGGACCAAGACTGGGAAAATAGAGCATGAGATACAGTTTAGATTCCCACCGGGGTCATTGTTGTTTTAGCAGAGCAGCAGAAGGCTAATAACATCCATTAACCGTATTTTCCCACAGGGATCATTCACTTTAGGTTTCATTGAAAGACCGAACGCTCACAGTGAGGTCCAGCATGCCGTTCTTCAGCACAAAGTTATTGGTCCCCTCAATGTTCTCCCCTTCCTCCAGACAGGAGTAGTTGATGCAGGAGTCGGTGAAGCTGCGTGGCAGGTTGGCGCAGGCCAGAGGCTCCACAGGGATCTCAGGGACAGCGACGGGGTTGCAGAGCTTCTTCATGTGTTCGGTAAAGAAATCGGCGTAGCCAACATTGAAGGATGCCACCGTGGTGTTGAATGCCGCCATCGTAATGGTGGAGATCTGAGATCGAACTGTGGGTGGCAGAGAGGAAAGTACAGTCAAAAATGTGGTCATGTTTTGTGATTACAAAAGGGCAAACACGACCTCAAAGTTATTGATTTAATAACTTAATTTAAGGCTTAATGTAAGTGCCTAGTGTGCTTATCTTGCTCATAAAGGAAAACTCGAGGAGGTATAAAATTCAATTTAAGAAAACATTAGTTAATATAGAGGTGTGTGTGTGAGGGGTATAAAATTATTTAGAGTGGCACTAGAAGAAAACAAGAGCTCAGTTTTTACTTGGTGTAAAGAGAAAATTCAGAAACTACTCATGGCAGCTTGTCCTCCTTATTTCTAAATGATATGATCAATAATAACTACAAAGCTATTATTAAAAGTTCTGTAAATTAACCTTTTTCAATGTATCCAGCATGTGTTCTTTAAATCTTTATTCTATCCTACTTATCATGTATGTATCATGTCAAAATCAGTTCTATCTAGTATCCAGTATCTTTTGTTCTCAAAAAAACCTAATAGTACAAATACTACTGTAGCACTATTCCCAAGACAAATTTCCCCTCTGGGACAATAAAGTTTATTCTACTCTATATTCTATTCTATATTGTGCAGTGTGGAGCAGAGTCTAAAGCCAACACAGTTATTTGTATGTAAATTAGCATTGTCACAGGAATATTACTGTTATATAATCCTGTCCTATTTCTGTTCAGCTCAGCAAGCCTCAGTGGAGTCAGCAGCGTCTGGCGTTTGTTGTAGCTGATGGATTGTAATATGATTGTAGTTTTCATTTGTACATTTTCATAGTCTTAGAGTCTGCCAGCCTCTCTTGGAACTGCACAGACCATTTTCCATCATCTTCGTATTGACCTTAATCACTGCTGTATGCTGACTTGATTTTTTTGTTCCTTATGAAAAATTGCTTTTTTCTGTATTCATGGTTTACTTCACCTAGCACTACCATATGATATCATTCAGATTGAGTGAATCAATGTTCTTTGGATTTGTCAGTTAACAACACGAACAGATTGCAGAATGCATGTGTTTAAGAAACTCCTAATCCTGTATTATTTAGAAATTATGCAGCACTGAATTGGTTCTTTTCTTGGTCACAACTTGCTCAGACCTGGTCATGATCTTAAGAAGAAGAACTCTGGACCACAGCTCAGCCTTCTCCTTACCCTCTTTGACGGTGTTATCACTGTGGCTGTTGGAGTGGTCGGGCATGTCTCTGAGCAGAGAGTGGTGGGAATGAGAGTGCTTGGCACTCAGGCTGTCGGCGTCTGCAGCTGTGTCGGTGCTGCCCCTCCGTGTGAATTTGCCTGGAAAAATGCAACGGATAAATTTATCTGGTTGGACTAAACACACATGCACATACAGATCCAAACACACGATAAAATGCCAAAAAAGACCTGGACAGAGGCTGTTTTTGTCCTACTAAAACTTTAAAATATACTGTGTTAAAGCTTCAATCGCAGGTTAAAATAGCGGATTACATATGTCATATTTATGATAGCTGTTTTAAAAGTTCCCTATTTTTACCTGCATGTTTTGGGCATTTTTAGAACATTTCTTCCTGTGAATAGAGATCATTTCAAGCAGCAGCTAAGCTAACTGGATATATAACAGTACTTTTCGTGAAAAGGAGGCACTAACTCTGAATAATAAAAAATAAAAAATGGCTTTACGCCTAGAGCAAATTTTAATCACACTTCTCATTGAGAGCTAATAAGGAATACCAATGTTAATGAACTGACCTAATTCACTAGCTGACAGCCAGATCCAGACAGAACTGTCTGACTCACCAAATGGGAGCTTAGGGGAGAGGAAGCAAGACTGCGAACTAGTGACATGCAATCTATTCTCATTATGAACACTGAGCACTCTCGCCTACCCATGATGGTGGCCTGCCAGCCTCCGCGGTCCAGAGCCCGCCGATCATCACCAAGGCCGGAGAAGCTCCCAAAGGAGAAGGTGCTGCGGGTGGGCGAGACGTCCAGGTGATCCTCGTGGAGCAGGAAAGGAACCCCCATGCGGCGCTGGCGCTTTTTTCCCGTGTGATGGAAGGGGATGGAGGTCTTTCTCTCACGGTCCTCACGCCGGTTCTTAAACTGAAATATAAAGTTCAACTCCAACATCGACTAAACATGAGCTTAACACACTGTGTTGGGCAATAGTCAGGGGCCAGTCCCAAAATTAAATCAGAAAAGTAATGAATTATGCATGTTTTGTGCTTGTGAACTAGCTGCCTTACTTGTCCTAATCCATTAGATAATGCTTATCTACATAGGATTTTAATAATATGAGAATGCTAGCATGGATTTCTGGCTCTGACCTTCTTGAAGATGTTCATGCCCAGGTCAGAGGCGAGGTCGGGGACTGCCTGTCGACGCAGGTTGGTCAGAGAAACCTTCGCAAATGTCTCTGTGCTAAGAGATTTCCCCTCTTCGTTGCATTTCAGACTCATGTCCTGCAAAACACAGCAGAGGATACAGATGACGCAATAGTCAGTACAGCATGAACATGTGATTAAAAAAATATATTGGATAGGGCAGCTGAAGATTGACAGGAAAGGAGGGAGAAAGAGGGAATGAGATGCAGAAAAAAGGGCCACAGATCGGATTCAAACCCATATCCGCTGCAGCATGGATTTAGCCTTGGTACATGGGGCACCAGCTCAACCAGGTGAGATAGGGCACTCCACAATTCCCCCTTTGTCCTCCTGCTATTACCTGAGTCTTGTGGGTGTTGACCAGTGATGGTGTGGCAGCCACCATGGAGCTGCTGCGCGGCCGTGGCAGAGGCGTGACCAAGGGTTCCGGGGCATGCTCAGGTCTCTCCTCCAGGATCTGCCTCAGGCGCTGCAGGTAGAACATCAAGGCCCAGTGTACACCCTCCTCTGTCCAGTGTGGCTGCAGGAGGCAGCGCAGCACTGCCACGTCAAAGTAGGTGGCGTAGCGTGCTCGTTGTGCTAGGGAGGTTGGCAGGCCAGCAGGGGCTGATGTCCTTGAAGAAGAGGGTAGAGACAAGGATGTTTGTAATGGTTTAGCTAATTTGCATCAAAAACCTCACCCTGTCTTTACTGAGACCTAACACTAACTCAGTCGAAAAGGAACACAGAAACTTAACTACTTATTTAACTAACAAAAGTAATCCAGCTGATTGTTGTCTGTATATGTATTATCATATATATATATATATACACATATGATAATACTATACTATAATTATTATGTATTAGTTTTTTTTTTGTTCTATTTATAGATTTATAGATTGTTTTGTTTTGTCTGAAATGTCCCCACCTGGATTGAATCTATGTTTTTGTAGTGACTGTCTATGTTTTTGATTTTGTGTATACGTGTGTATATGTTGTTTTATGGCCAACCAAACCAAGCAGATGTATAAAAGTGGTAGAAGAGTAAAAACAATTCAGATGTAGGGCTGAGAGTAGCAGATATAGAAATCAAAATGCATGCAGAAATTGTGAAAAGGGCAATTAAGAGATACTGAAAGGAAGTGAAATTATTCAAAACTGACAAACAGTTGAATCATAAGATAATGTCAATGAGCAACATTTTGAGCCCTTCTAATACTGTCAAACAACTAACTACATACACAACAATTACAATGTGTCACAGCCTCTCCTGTTGTATTAGCCTGTCATCAACTCTCGCCACACTGCTTCATTAATAATGCATCAAAGGAGGATGGTAAACAAGGGCAGAGCCCCCCTCTAGCATCATTGGGAGAGCAGTGGGGAGAGAGGGAGCCTAAGCCTACGTGAGTCCACTATAAATAAGCTGGAATGAAGGTCAGCGGTTGGTGAGCTACAGAGCGTATAGAGCGCCGCACACTGTGGAGAAACATATTGATACCATGAGAGAGGGAGAGAGAGACAGAGGACGGCATTTAATCTTGGCCAATGTAATAAATGGAGCAGGAAGGGATGGTCGATATCTACATGAATCACTTTGAGAGCGGACAGCAGAGGGAGGCTGTATCATGTTTCACCGTCTAGCCAACACACACACACACACACACACTGCCTACTGCTGTTGTGTCAGGTTGCCATGGAGACCGAGTGACGACAGCCACCCCGGGCCCTCCGAGAGGCAGCGGCCCAGCCCCCTGACTCCATGCGGTAAGAGAGATGCAGCAGCCAGCGGTTGCCATGGAAACTGCCTCAGCATCAGCAGTGCTCGCGATGCGGTGCCACAGGATGAGTAAGCTGCATTAATCACAGGACCTTATGGCGGAAATGATTTTATCTAGGCAGCACGGTATCGAGGTGTGAGTACAAGAGGATGAGATGCAAATATAACCTCTGTTTTGGGGCCTCTGAGATCATGGAGAAGTAGAAAAGATTTGAATTCAGAGGATATTTTGAGAGCATTAAATAAATTCCTTCTTACAGTTAAATCCCCTTCAAATGTCAAAATTCTCTCTTGCTGTATATCTAACTTACATTCAGCTAACTTTCCTCCCTTATCCAGCTTTTCAGACACACAACAGCTTCAAATTCCCACCACCAACACTTACAGAAAGCAATTAATCTGTGTGTGTGCTGCAAAACAATAGGGCTAAATCTCTCCCTTCGTGCATTACCACGTGACTGCTCAAAAACCCTTTGGTGTTTCAGTGTATGAGGATATAACTAGCTTGGGGGAGGGGGACTGGGGCTTATTTTGATATGCAGTCAGTTGCTGGCTGTCAGAGAGATCACGGAAAGCATTGGAGTGACTTGTTTGCTTGTCAGAGCGAGTTGAGATGAGCAATGGATGGCTTATCAACCTCTCTACGCCTTCTCCTACATCACTTGCCATTCTCAGCCCACTGGTTGGGTGATTCAAGATGATGACAGTCCAGGCATGATAAACTTAACAACGGAAAACACCCACATAGGATTTGCAGAATGCAAATGTTTTGACATGTTTATCTGGGGAACCTATTTGTGTCATAATCATGCAGTTTCACCAAATTCAAACCAGGAATCATGTTTTAAAAACACTGGAACTATTCGAGCTCTTATATGTCTGAATAATACATCCTTTTTTTATGATATTCTTTGCACGATTTTGTATAACCAAAACTTTTGTTAGAAAAACCAGACTCTCGATATAGTGAGTTACCGTTGCTGCCAAACTAGTCAAACCTACCTTGTCTGTGCCAAAGCGAGCACAGATTGAGCTTTAGTCTGGCAGCGAAGGCAGAACAACACCAGACTTGCCGTTGGCAGACCAAATCAAGCCAGGCCATGTCATGCCAGGCCAGGGACACTGCCAGCATTAGACATGTAGCACATTACTTCAGCATAATTACCCTGGTTTTGTGGGCAAATGTCAGATGGGTCTAATGCTCAAGCAAGACAAGGCTCTGTCTGTGTGTGTGTGTATGTGCTGACTGAGGAGACAGCACTGCTTAGAGCAACACATTACACAGGGGAAGGAGGAGCTATTCATATACGCTAGCTAGTGGAGCGAGCTGTGCCGTGCAGTGTGTTCGACAGACGCCGCCGCAGGGATAAATGTTTAGCCATCAACAAGATGATGGCACCAGCCCTGTGTCAGCGCGGGTCACTTACAAATCACTGCACTTCTGCACTGCTTCAACCCACAACCGCCTTATTGGGTTCATCACAGAAAGATTATACATTTATGGGAGCTTTTGTGAAAGCAGTGAAATCATATCTTGATCATTATGAATCTTCACAAATGATTAACATATGGTTTTCACTGCATGATTTACCCACTTAAGACGATAAAGAACAAGGCCTGTTCATGTTGCATGAGACAACATCTACGTGTCTCATACACCTATGTTAAAAATGGATGTCGTTATGGTAATGCACATTGGTGTTGCAGTACAAAGCAGGTCTCGTCGGTCCTTTTCTATAGAAACTGTGAGCTCTAAACCTGACGGGATTTGTTTTGAATCCCTACAGTAAAGGATTACAGGTTGCCACAAAGGGCAAGCTATTTCTAAGCCATTGCAGCACTTTTGTACAAACGCTTTTTTACTCTTAAGTGAGTATATGATAACAAATCAAATAAATAATAATAATAATAATTAAGTTTTCCCTCGTCATTCCGACCAAAGATAAAATGTACCAAAAATGTGAGCACACACAAAGAAGATGATGAATGAAAAGTGTCACTTGGGTTTATCGTGGTCTTTGCATTTACACTAGTTATGACACCTTTACCCATTTGAATGGGCATGACGCTTGAATGTAACTCCCAAATCCAAAAATCAATGACCAAATGCTACTCATCTCACTGCTTTGTGAGCTTAAATTCCACTCACTTTTTCTTGGAAGGGCCTTTGACTGGTGGGGGTTGTTGGGAAGGGCCACCTTTCTCAACCGAGTTACCACGACGACAGCTCTGCTCTCCAGCTGAGGGGGAGGAGGAATCTGATTGGGCCGCTTCGCAAACCACCTGGAAGCCCTGTGGCTGGGAAAGAGAGATGGACAGATACTGTAGATGGATAGATAAACAGGTAGAAAGACAGGCAGACAGTCCCTGACAATAAAGGCTCTGAGGTTGGAGTGAGGTTTTTGTCATGACCCCGGCTAACTAACCACGCTAATGCTCCCACATGGCTGGTGCTAATGAATATTAGCAGCCAGCCTCAGGGGGATGCTGAAACGGGGAGGGAAAGAAACCTCTTGCCTGAACGCATTCAATCAACATGGGAGGCAAAATCTGACAAGAACTGAGCGAATAACGCTCACTCACCATGGGACCCGGGTTGCCAGATCCACAGGGGCTACACTGGTTGTTGACTGGGGAGTTTCTCTTTGCTGTTGAGACAAGCATAGCAGATTACATGTCTTAATTATGAACAAATAAACAAATAAATGGATTAACTCTCATAAGGGATTTATATGGCTGTTTTTTCACCTGTCACAATGTTTCTGACGGGTTTGATGAGTGCAGTAAAGGCAGGAATGTCAGGCTGCCGGTGCTCCCACATTGGCTGCCATATTACAAGACCGCTGGCCAATCGGAAGGTCAGGTCCGACTCCTAAAAAAGCAGTGATATATTTAGAATTTATAGAGGAAGCAATTTTAGCCCTCCTTCTTAACTATCCAATCATCATCCAATCAACGCATGAAGCAACTTGTAAGATGTACCTTAAATGCTATGATATTATCATGTTGTTAGAAGTGTAATGCTATTATGACATGATCAAATACAGAAATGTATTTTTGGAAAACACAGTGCAATCCCAAGAGTACTGTAACATGACCCTTGTAAACACAGATCAATAGCCATATGGCAACCCCGAGTATGTGTGTGTGTGTTTGATATGGGAAAGTCAGGATACTAATACTTTTAGAATGAAGCTGAATGAAACTGTGGCTAAAAAACTTTCAAAAATTACAAATATACACAATATCCCTGAGGAAGTGATTTTTTGTACGATAGAAAATACTAAAACTGCACAGCAACAATAGGTAGTATTGACCCCATCAATTCCAAGACTGTATCACCGGGTACAGACCTTTATCCGATGAATAAGCGGCGCAAACAGGAACACAAACAGCTCCACGGTGGCCATGCTCTTGTGAAACAGCTTGGTGCGAGCATGCTCATCCTCCTCCAGCAAGGAACCGCTGTGCTGGGGCCCCGACCCTCCTAGGGCAGAGCCGGAGCAAGAGCCAGGAGCCCCCGGGGATGATCCCTGGTTCCCCACAGGCTGGAGGAAGGCACTGCTGCTGCTACCTGCGGACCAGCCGTGGCCCAGGCTGGGCTCATGGTTGCACTCCTGGGCAGCATCCAGCAGCATCCAGTGCAGTGTGTGGAGCAGCTTGGTCTCAGCCACACCCAGCTTATCCTGGTGGCCTGTCGGAGGTCAAAGTTCAGGGGTTAAGTGCTAAGTGAGGTGATTTATGGACAGAATAAAGCTACTGTTCAGTTCAGTTAAAGGATTGCAGGATTCTGTGAGGGTTATTTATGGTCAACTATATCTTAGACCTCAATAAAATATCATTTTTTGTGACTTTGTGAAGACCTGGAATTTTGCCCATGACCCAACAGTAATAATATAAAAACATCTTAATCCACAATGAAATAGACTAAGGTAAATATTTGTTCTCAGTATCAATGCTTGCATGTATAGATTTCAGTGCAGTCACAATATATGCATTTAGGGGCTGACATAACCCAGAAAAATAATAGATTTCATTCAAATAAACATGTTAATTATTTTGTTCTCTGTTGCGGATAATCCAGAACTGCGATGTGCTGTGAGGTCAGGCTGTTCTGTAACTGTCCTGTGACTGAAAGAACATCAGTTTTGTGTTTTGTTGAATGAGGATAACCTGGATAAGGCTGTCAGCTCAATGCCTAAAGCGCTGGTAATATGTGTCCTCACCCAGCTTGTTCCTGTTAGACAGCAGGATGGAGGTGCAGTGGAGTACATGAGGCAGGGCTGCTTGGACGAGTTCCCAGCGGGAGATGCTCTGGATGGCCTCTGACAGGGCCGGCGACAGCCCGTGGAGCTTATTCTCCACCAGCACCCGTTCAAAGGACTGGGGAGGCAGCCAGAGAGAAGGAGAAAAGAGACATCAGCCAGGGACTAAAGCCTCTTTCTTTGACTATCTAAATGTCCCACATGGCCCCAAGCAAGGCAATGCCTGTGGGAGAGACAGTGGCAGCTCTGTTTGGATCCAAAGGGATCTAGAGAAACGTCATTATGGATATGAGTTTCCAAAGGTCTGGCTCCTGGGTAATAGGAGGAAGCAAGGGGAAAACTAATTTGCTAAATGTGAAATCAAGAGCCCACTAGATTTGCAGGTGCATTAAGGTGAAAACAGATTACCGGGAAGTGAGTGATTATTTTTCCTCATCACGCACATGGCATTACGAAATAACTTACCACACAAGATGCTTCATACTGTTTCCCCAACTTTGGACGCAGAAATGCACTGAAACATATAAGAAACACGCTTAGAGGAGACTGATTATAAAAAATGATAAATGTAGGTTACACTCTTAAATCTCCAGTGTCAAATCGTAAGATATTCTGTCCATGACATTATGTACAAGCATAAGCAGTCATTTCACCGCAGCTAAAACACACCGCGTATTTATTTAGCCCACTTTCGATATAAATTCGCCTTACAGGTGTGACATCATACAATCTGCACCCGTCTCCATTCACAGTTAACGTTTATAGAAAAACATGCAGCCTACCTTCCTCCATTTAAAACATTCAATGAAACCAGTGGACCTGGCAGGTTACCCATACACGGCTTGAATTGTAAGAAGGCAATACATGAATTTTGAAGCCTATTAGGATAGAAATGCGGGCTCCTTTTCATGTGTCAGCCAGTGACTTTGACAAAGCTGCTGTCAAATCCTGGATCCTCCTTATTTTCGACAGTGAATGGCAAACACCTGTTATCAATTGCCACTGAAGCAAACACACACACACACAGGCGCACTAACCTGGTTTGCCTCCACAGGAAGGTCTGGATGGGGAACGGTATTCCTTTCCCGCACTCCGGCTCGTTCTCGTCCAGGCTTTTCCTCTTCACCATTTTGGCCAGACCTGTCGCCTGTGTGCGACCACCGGGACGCGCGGCGGGCTGCTGGCTCTGCCCAGGTGACCAGCGAGCTTCCCTCACGACATGATTGGGTTCATCCTGCGTAAAATGGCTGCAAGTGTCGGTCGGTCGGCGGCAATAGAGAGAGAGAGAGAAGGAGAAGTCGCTCTGATTTCAGCACCTCCCTCGCCGGACAGCTACAGTTGATCGGCGTGCTAATTTATCGGCTGCGGAGCTTAAAGACGCAGTGTGCAGCCTGGCCAGATGTTTTTCTCTGTCAACCCTCTCTGCCTTGTGCACCATTATTGGTAAAAGGGCTCCGAAACGCTGCCTGTGACTGAAACACAAACTGCTAAAACGCGCGTTGAATTGCATCCGGATGATGCGTTCACATGATGAGAGTATCCGCCATTTGACCATCAACAGGTTGTTTAACCACCCAAGTATTCGCATCCTTTAGCACACACCACAATATTGCATTACACAATAAAGGTGCTGCATTCAAAATTTAAAAAGTACAGCTACTATGTATTATCAGCAAAGTGTAATACCACTACATATTACTGGGTATTATAATCTATAGTAATGCATCATGTTTTATAATCTGAACATTTATGTAAAATCTGAACTTGCAAAGTCAATATGACAATTCAATGTATTTAGGTAAAAGGTGCAATGTTTTGCTTAAAACTGTTGAATTAGTAGAATTATAGAGTTGCAGAAAAGGAAATACAAGCAGCTTAACTGTTCTTAAATACTTAAAGGCGAGATCCAGCGATTTAATTTCTATAAAATTGGGATGGGAATGGTCAAAATTCCCACGATTCAACAGGATGGCATGTTAATTTCTGACTTTTAGTTCCTAGTATAGGTTCTAATGTATGATACAAAATGCATCCTACAATTCCTACAATTCACCTGGATTGCATGTGTCCTTAGACCCTACAATTGCTACAATTCTACACACATTTAGTGGTGAAAGATAACATATTAAAAGTGTAAAATAATAACACCATCTCACTCAGTAGACAGATGAGGAAATATTTATCTAAATTCTATAAATCTTGTGTGTATCATTGCTATGTATGCTTAATAGTAGTAACTATAGTAACATAATCCGCCTACCAGTTGCTCTAAAGCTCACTCATAATCATGTTGTATCTAATTTGTTTAATTAACACCGTGTAAAAACAATAAATCGGCGTTATGCGGACGACTAGTGGCGGACAACTAGTCTTTGTGCTAACCTAACTCAATTAGCACAGTAACTAAATAGCATTGAAAACAACAATACAAACACGACTAGGTTTCCTAGTTTTCACTATGTGAATCTAGAAGTGCAGAAAAATATTTATAAGATTATTAAGTAAATAAATGTACAAGCTTTAAACACTACTATAACTAATACAGTATGTAGTATGTCATCACTGTTGCTTGTTAATGAATTATGAATAATAGCCTTCATGTACACAAAAACATGTTTTCCCAAGAAAAACTAATCTAAAAGAGGCTTAATGTTACATTTTACACATCCACCATGTGCACCAACATATTTGTGTTTCCATGCTGGAGAAAAATTGATCACAACATTTTCTAAAATTCATACGAGAGACTAGAGTGAACCAGTTTTTATTTTCTTTATTTCTGTTGTCGTCATCCTGTAGGAGCATTTGTCATAAGTACGTCTCAAACATCGGAAAAGTGTGCACACATCTACATGGTCTTTTAAATACACTTACACAGGCAAAGAGGGAGGCAAGAGTAAAGGGAGCACAGAAAAACACTGGAGGGGTAACTGACATCGGGGGAGGAGGATAAGGGGGGCAGAGTTTCACAATGGTGAGCAGAGAATATGCTAGAACAGTTTTGTTTCTATTCTTTTTTTTCTGAATTCTAACAGCTGCAAGTTGAGGGTTACTCCCGTTCTTCATTTCTTTGTCCTTTCTGCTTTCATTTCCTGTTAAGTTACTGGTTCAAACACACAAAAGGGCCAAGTAGCTGCTCTTTCAATGGAATGTTTTCATATAAAGCTTCGTACTTTCCTCTTTTCAAACAAACTTTGGGACTGCTGCCCATTCAAATACATTATACAACCCAGTCTCTGCAAGAGAAAGGCCACGGGAGCATGAGGGGCCTTGAACACACTAGAATGCACCCTGGTTGTTTACACTCACACCGAAAAGTTTAAGATTGCTCCAAATAGATCTAATTTATTTATCATTTATTTGCCATGCCAGCATAACAGCATTGTTGCAGCCTTATAAAAATCACAGAGCTAACGTAAAAACCAAACAAAAAGAGCAGCCCATTGGTTTGCAAAAAAGAAAAGAAAAATCTATTGGAAAGCTAGTCTTTTAGCGCTTGACTCGACAAAACTGCAATGGTTATCCACATTTAAGTGCTAAAAAGCCAGTGCAGCCACGGGGAATGTACAAAACTGTAACAACTTCTACTACAGTGACATATATATAAAAAGAAAACATAACAAGAGAACACCATTTGTCCAACAATTCAGCACGTTTCAGAAAATCATAAGATTAAAACCAACCAACAAACAAAAAAACAAAAAAACCCATGTCGTTTGACTTAAAAAGTCACATTTTAGCAAACATGCTCATCAGCCATTTTGCAGGTGCAGTTACACACCTAATTTCTGTACGTTAAGTCTCTCGCACAGCTGTATCTTTAAGACTAGCGTCTAGTTTCTAGTAGTTATATCTTGCATTCAGTACCATATAAATTCTGAATGGACATTATGCATGAGTTTCGCCTTAATCTCCACCCAAGTGGAATGTGATGCTTTTCACGCTAAAAATCGCTGTACAGTCGTTAAACCACCAATGCTTTCTTGGACAAACACATCCACTCAAACTTCAGCATTCATCATAATCTAAAACCAAAACAAAAATGTCCATATTTGAGCGAATGAAAATGAACGAAAGACAAAGAGTGACTGGGCGTGGAATGAAGAATAATGAGAGAATTCAGTTTTTAAAATCCCGCTGGAAGGGTGGTTGACGGACGAGACAGTCAATCAACTACAACTGTAGAACCTGTGGGGTCGAGTGTGTGTTGGGGTCACGTTGCAGTTAGGGACCTTGGGAGAACACTGGATGAGTGAATGAGATTGATGGGAAGAGGAGTAATGGATTTTGGAGGGTAACCGAAAGCGGAGGCAGTCCGCTTATAAGCCCTGCTTGGCCAGGGCAGCGGTGACATCCTGGGCCAACGTGGAGAGCTGGGGTGACTCCAGGAGGTTGATGCTGCCGGCGGAGGACAGGCGAGGGGAAGTGCCTCCTGTCTCGACCCCGGGGGAGTGGGTGACGATGATTTCTGCGCCGTGATCCACCCGAGCTTTGGCTGTTTCCCGGAAGGTCAGCTTGTGGCTCTCGATCTGGTGGTGCAGGAGAAAGACTTTAGGTCAGGTTCTTTATTTTTACAGAAACTGGCAGTGACTGAGACTTTATCTGCACAGGAGAGTGTATCTGTGTGCTTTTTCTTACCATGATGTTTCCCCCTCCAGGAGTGTGGCTGGTGTTGCCCAGGGATCCGATCTTGGCATGGGCCTTCTCTTTAAAGTCCAGCTTCACATTCTCAATACGTACATTACCTCCCCCTGGGGACAGGACAGCAAGAAGGAGAAGAAAAGAGTCAAACCCATGGGGCATCACTCGCCTGCAGGCCAGAGCTTCTCCTGAACAACGCACTCGAGGCAAAGAATCACACACTGCAGTGCATGGGAAGGACGCTGTGCTTATAAACAACAGCTTTATCTATTCACCATCTTGACTCTGTATCAGATATGCCTAGGCTTGAAATCATCATCATCATGATATGAAAATAAAAGAGGATATCTTGATATTATGGCAAATCTATGCACAATCATATGTTTTATTGGCCAAACTATTGACTGTATATAAAAATACACAACAAGGCAGATCCCCATAAGTGCAGTCAGATCCCCTTGTGGCTGGCTGTGGTATAGGTCATACATCCTGACACTTTGATGTCATAAAAGGGAGGTTTTACATCATGATTGACAGCTAAGCCCTGTTGGCCCAGTCGGCAGTGCCTGTACCTGGGATATTTTGGCTTCATTATTCTACAGTGTATATACAGACTTTGGGATTTTGATAATATTATTTGTTTTTAAATGAAGTTGATTCATTTTTAAAAATATTTCTGAGATTTCTCCACATACCACTCGAGGGAGATTGCTTACCACCAGTGGTACCCGTATCATAATCTGAGAACCAATGCTCTACAAGATTTTTCTCTATATCTACATATTAATTTCACTATAAGGCAAGATAAAGACATGAAATGGTAAATTAAACATTGGATACAAACAAGAGTGAGTTAAAGCAGACTTTTTCAGCTCAATCTGCTGAGAATCTCTGGACAAGCAAAATTAAGGATAAACAAATGACAATTATTGTCAGTGTTCCTTAAAATCCTTAAATGCCTTGTCAGACGGTAATGTATGTATATGCTCAATTGTGTGTGAATAATAATAATTTAGCACCTCCAAATTAAATTAAAAAAATAGCACCTGGTCTGTGGCGGATGTTGGACATGGAGCCACATTTGGCAGTGACGTGGCTCACGTCGATCTTCTTGGTCTGGATTTGGACCTGTGGGCAGCAGCAAAAAGCACATAACATTTGTTTCCAAGGAAAATAGTAAAAAAACTATTAATGGCTTTACAAATGTCTCGGAGAGATGGAAGCTACAAAAAGAAACAGACATGAAATACAGTGAATAGAAAGCTGATCTGATATGATATGTTTAGAGAAGAATCAGCAATGAGATGACACAACTTGAATCTGTGGATGAGGGCAGATTAAGTTGATCAACATTTGGCGGCACAAGAGACACAGAGATGCTGATGTTCCCTGGAGAGAGCTTAAGATGAAAGCAAGCAGTCAGAGCACAGACACCAAACAAACAGAACACAGGTACTACGTGACGCTACAACGAGCAGGCGCTTCAATAAACTTTATTATCCATGGGTGATATGTAGTGTAAGTACAAACTGTTGCACACTGTAAAGGAGTGTTTACACTATGCAGAGATGCTGTAAGAAATATTAAATGTGATATTTTTGGTGCTGGCAGGAAATCCAATTTCCGAGGCACAAAACACACAAACCACAAACCACAAACACCTGAATGAATAGGTTCATTAAAGTAAGAGAACTTGGAGAATTGTTTTTGAATCACTCACGTTTCCCCCGCCCGCTGCGTGTTGGATTTTGTCCAGGGAGCCACATTTAGCCTGAACGTGGCTAAAGTCCAGTTTAACACTCGGAATCATGACCTGGGAATGACAGGGTGTCTTTTTTATACAAACAAACAGTGAACACTGAGGGTGTCTCAAACTGGTTGGGGGCGAGAGCTTAAAAATGCCCCCCTCCCTATCCTTTCCCACCCAAAATAATCCTGTAAAAGTGTCCCAATTTTAAATCCATGACCTATCAATCTGTCGGCATTCACTTTGGCGCTGGGGCATTTGAATGATCTAGGCCCCGGAAAACAAACTGAAGCCTTTTATTGATGCAGGGATAAAGGAATTTATCTTTAGTGCTGCAATCCATTGAGTTTTGAACTTGTCCCTGTTTTGAATAGAGTTGTTACAGCAGACTGAAGCATATTTGAAAGAGTTCAAATCCCATGCGCAACATCCACTCACTATTTGTACAAGTACTAAAGACAATAAATAAATGGATGGCACAAACTAACAACAAGAAATATCACTTTTAAGAGGGAAGAGGCGAACTTTGCTTCCTGGTTGACAAATAAGTAACATGGATGTGTTGCACCTTGGAAGTAAACCCTTCTGCCAATGGCAGATGCACAGATGGGTAGACAGATGAACACATAAAAGTAGAATGAGAGAGAGCTACAACAGCCCCAGCTGAAAAGAGAAAGAAAGAAGAGAAAGAGAGAGAGAGAGAGAGAAAAGAGAGAGAGAGAGAAAAGAGAAAGGCGTACATACATTGCCTCCTTTGGGCGTGTGCTTCAGATTATCCTTGGAGCCGCACTTTGACTGAACATGACTGAAGTCCAGCTTCTCGTGTAAAATTTGAACCTAAAACAACATCGCATAAAAAAAAAAAGAAAACACTATATGTGCCTCATTAAGGTAAGTGTGCGATGAGTGATCAACGTGTCTTTACATGCATTTACATTTAACTTGTGTTTACTTACAATTTGTGCTCATATACAGAGCTCTGAGAAAAGAAGTGGTTTTAGGTGTGACTTTATTCTCCCAACCAACTAGTAGGAGTCGCTAGCAACAAAGACATGATTCCTCACTGGCTTCCCACCCACAAACACTGCCACAGCTTTGTTTGTTAAAATACTCGACTAAGCAGTTGGTAGGCGTGGCAGTAATTAAAGCTGTGGGTTAACACTTTAAAACGTAAATCTTAGTTATACAAATATTTCTCAGAGCTGCTATGGAGGTAGGAATACTCTCATTGGCCAAGTTAGACTTTAATAAGATAATAAAAAATATTTTATGGGTTAATAAATTAAAGAGGTAACAGTGGTGGTAATTAATATTAGGAAGCATTAACATATAAATTGAAAACAAACAAGTAAACAGACAAGCTTTGGTGGTTTAATATTACCAATGAGAGTATTTCTGCCTAGTGCACCAGTTTGTGTAAAATAAAATAAAAATAAAAATAATGCCTACTCCATTGTTCGAAAGAGCCACAGTGAACACAGAAAGAGGGTGAAAAGAAAATAGAAAGAGGATCAGGTTCAAGAGCCCTGACAGCAAGCCTCTGTCTCTGCTGGTCTACACCGACCTGACCTGGATTCTCATGACAGCTCTTCCCCTCACCTGCGCACACACAAATACGGATGCACACTGTTCGTTCATTGGTGTTTTTTTCTCATTTGTCACAGTTCTTTCACCACCTGGTCTCTTCCACAGCTGTTGCAGCACAGACAGCTACAAGGTCAACCAAGGACAATGCAACTGCATTAAACCTGATCAACAGAAAATGAATGAAAATGTATCGCTGACTATTTTAATGATCGAATATCAATGATCTTTTAGGCAAAAATGCCAAATGTTACTGATATTTGCTGCTTTTCTTTATCTTCTATAATGATAATGTGAATATTTTTGGGTTTTGGTACGTTGTTCAGACAAAACAAGCAACATGAATACGTCAGCTTGGGAATTGGGAAATGGAAACAGGAAAAAGGTCTTGAATATCCACATAAAGTGCCTACTATAAATATGTCGTAACATTTTATTAATTGTCATTTTAACATATTTCTTTTTATACTTAAATAAATTCAGACATCATCAACTCTTAATTCTGACATTAGAGTGATAAAGAGCTCCAGTATATGACAGACTGTGCTCCACAAAGCCTGCTGTGCTGCTCCTCCAAGCCATGCGTCACCCAGCTTCATTAAAAATGTCTGTCCCTATGTCACATTTCTCCCCAAAGAGGAAAGAAGAGCTGGCAAAAATGACAATTACTCGCCTCCTCCCTCATACATCACCAGAGTTAATGAAAAGTCACACCTCTGTAATACTCTGGGAACATTAAGACTGTCTGTTGCCTTGGTTATGTGATTAAATCTTAGTCTGTTAGTCAACCACACATATGTTATACACCCCTCTTTTTGGGGACCTAGCACAGTTTTGTTTGAAACATAAACAAATGAAGAGGAAAAAGTAATGTGAGGTGATATATTTTAATTCTGTGTCCTTGATGCAACTTCTCAATAAGTAATTCCGCCTGCTTGCAATTATTAATACCCAGAGCCGGAGGGAAAATCCTGCACTGCGATGACGAAAGCAGATCCCCAGGGCAAATCATTCTGCAGGTTGACTGCTCCTTGAGAGGATTCTTTAAATATTCTTAAGAGAAGAGCTATTTTAAATGCTCCTAAGACTAACACATGGTTTGTTTAGTACAGCTGAAGCTGACTTTCATCCTTCTTCAAGAGGGAGAAATTTGAGAAAGGTAAGGAGAAGAAAGACAAAGGGTAAGTCAGGGGAAGAGGCCGGAGGCAGCCGATGACGGTTTATCCAGACTGACAGCAGACAGGGAGAGGACAGTCAGAGGAAGTAGCGGTAGAGGTTTAGAGGCAGGTCAGACAGTGAGTGATAATGTAGACGTGGGGAGAGATATTCAAGCATTTTTATGACATCAATGCTTAAACTCACATTTTCAGTCTTTTTTCCAATAGAGACTTTATGGTGGAATCAGAAATCCATTTTTAAAGTCAGATTAAGCCAGATGAAAATGTTCTAAATTAATGGCAAAATACATGAATAAGCAATCTCTTTTGCTTTGTTTTGAATGTTCCTATATCTTGCATCTATCTTTTTATGTGTATTTCTTTTAATACTAATATTAATACTAACATTTTATTGAAGAGGAAATTATATTATTAGAAGTTGAAGATAATAAAGCATTAGTCTTGCTTGATTTGATTTAGCCAATAATTTCTGTCCTTTACTGCCATCATGTGGCAGGTAAATGCATGACATTTTGAAAGTTTGAACAACTCAGAAATGATGAAATATGATGCCAGTTAAATATGTATTTATGTAAATATACGTCTTTCTCCCTGTTGTTTAAAGACTATTTTGTATATTGCAATACATTTGTCTCTTTCTGTGTGCTGTAAAGATTTCATGGCAGAGTGACAAAAGCATTGTTTTAATGAACTAAAATAAAATATTTCGAAGTGCAGATTTAATTCAGTTGCCACTACGTGATAGTGTGATTTCATTCTTCAATGACATGTTTCAGCACTGTTACCTGTCCGCCCTTCGGCTGGTGCTTGAGGTTGGAGGTGGACCCAATCTTTGACTTTACATTCTTAAGGTCAGGCAGGGGCTGATTGAGAACCTTCAGCTGCCGTTGGGCGGAGGAAGGAGACTTGGGTGGGGTTCGGATCACCGCCACCTTTTTCTCCTGGAGGACGCTGAAGGATTTGGGCGTGTGGCTGCCGGGCGTGCGTGAGCCAGGGGTGCGGCAGGAGTAGCTGGGGGGTGTGCCGGGTGTGACGGCGGAGGAGCCAGGGGTGGAGGCTCCGCTACGGACTGATCGGGAACGTGCCGAGTCTGTGCCTTGAGAGAAGAAGAGATATTGCTGGATTACAATGATGAGGAGATGAGAGAAAACCCTTCCTGGAGACAGAAACTCCAGACAAAGAGAAAAAGAAGGAATAAAGATTGAAAAAGAGAGATAAATAGAGATCAATAGAGACAAAAACACGAGAGCGCAGATGAATTTAAGTGTACACTACACTTCATCTGGTTCTAATAATGATGATAAGGAAACATAACACTCATGGAGCTGTCAACAGAGCACCAAATTTGCTCAGTTTTCACAAAACAAACAACCCAGCTCAAACAAGAATGTTTGAGAAGGAGCAGGAAAGCACACACAGGCAGTTTAATTCATTTAACGCTGGTGGCTTGTTGCTGGGATACTTGGGCAGGACCAATAGGATTTTAGCCGACAACATCCTGAATAAGAACATGAGGTAGCAACCTGTTGTTATGGATCCCACCTGTTCCTCTGATAAGGTAACTGCAGGTTTGACAAAGCCAAATTTTAACAAAATTTTAAAATACTCTAAAGAAATTTGACAAAACCACCTTCTTTCGGACTGGAAAATGAAGGTCTTTTTTAAACCTGCAAACACCTTTCAAAAAAGTGTGACCAAGATGAATGAATGAAGGCTTTGACAATAGATGATACTCACTTCTACACAGAATGTAAACCCTTATCTTGGAATTTAAAATACAAAACAACAAACACTTTTTCTAATAACCAGGTGTCGTATGTTGATGAAGAGGGTACGATGGGTCTAATAGGAGCTACTAAGTGTTCTACCTGTCATACCAGGTGCTCTTCCAGACCTGGTGTCCGCTCTTGACTGGAACGCTTTGCGAGGGGAGAGGCAAAAGGACAGGGAGGAAAAAGAATTGGGGAGGCAAAAGAAGAAAAGCAGGGCAGGAGGTGTAAGGTGGTACGAGTTCAATTTTTTTTAAAAAGGCTTATAAAAGAATGTGATTGAGGAGAGTCATTAGTATAGGTGCACGGACATAAAGAGGCAACCTGCTGCTGTGAAGTTAATTTAGGAGGCAAACAAGCTGGAAGGTTCTGCATTGTATATGTGTGCATGTTCTTACAGGTTGGCCTGCAGGGGGTGCTGTCCTCTTGTTCAGCAGCAGGGATGTGGCGTGTCAGAGACTTGGCAGGCCTAGGCAGGGACGACCTCTTCTCAGGGCTGCGGTATGCTCTCTCCTGAATGAACACACACACACACACACACTCAAGAGTCAATAAAAAGGCTCATTCACATGCACTGTGCATGGACATTGGCTCCAGCAACCCATCAATTCCCTCTTTTTCTTTCACGTTACCTGCTCTGCCCATTTGTTTGGCAGAGGGGACGGGCGGGCACATGCAGAGGAGGGGCGGACCCCACTGAGCTCCGCCTGCACAAGGGGGCTCCGTTTAAGGCTACAGGCAGAGCCGGGCCGGGGGGGATGGTGATCGGATGCCCGGCGCTGAACTGCCATCTTTAACAGAACCGCCCTCGTGGGGCTCTGGACCCCAAGCCGCACAAGAGGCGGGAAAGCATGCAGAATGTGAGGATGATGTGCGGACAGGTAGGCAGAAGTGAAAAACAGATGGAAAAAGGATAAGGTGAGATGGGATGGAGTGGAGATGAAATGCACACATGACAAGCAAGTGTTCTGCACACAGTATCTTGTAGTATCAGTATCTTGTGTTTTTAGTAAAGTTGAACTTAAGGTTTCAGTTGCACTAAAGAAGTTAAGGTCATTTAAATCAAGATACTGAATGATCAACAGACACAAGTGATGATTTGATTTTCTATGAAAGGTCCACTGTGTTGGATTTAGTGGCATCTAGTGGTGTAGTTGCAAATCGCATCTACCTTGCTTCACCCTGTCCTTCCAAGTGCAAAGGAGTAACTGTGGTGGCTGTGAAACATGCAAAAAATGCTAATGCCCCTATGGTAGAGACAGTGTTTGGTTTGTTCCCTCTGGGTTAATGTAACTGAAACATAGCAGTTAAACATGGCGGAGTCAATGAAAGGCGATCCGCAGCATCTGTAGATATAAAAGGCTCATTCTAAAGTAACAAAAAAATAATGATTCCTATATTCAGGAGATTATACATGAATGAAAACATACCTATGAATACTATATTTCATTTATGCCAATAGATAAATAAATGCTACACACTGGACCATTAAGAAAAACCTTGCATGGAGAACATGACACAAAGAACAAGAATGAAACTTTTAGACAGTGGTAGACTAAACTGAGAAACAGAAACATGTTGCATGAGTGTGGTTAGAGGTGAAAGATGGAATTCAAGATATTTGAGAGAGCCCCTTTGGCCTTGTACAATACATTACAGGTGTTGCTGGTAAAATAGTAAAACATAACTGTCAAACTACTCTCATGTGATTTCTATACTCACAGATTTTCTCTGTCGAGACTGGCAGAAAGACAGAGGCAGGCATGCAAGACAAAATTAATATGCACACAAAGAGAAATCAAAACACTAACATTCAGACATGCAGAGATGAAAAAAAGGAAGAAAATGTCAGGGTTGTCATGCAAACAACAAGCCCCATCATGCAATACGGTTATGTTGTGAAATATACAGAGAGCAGCAAAATAAAATAAAAATTACAGATGTGGTTCTGTGTTGTTTGAGAGAATAAAGAACCACTGGAAAAAAACCTCATCCCATGATATGGAATTAATGTGTGTATTAGAATAGAAATTAACATTTTGAATAGACTTAGATGTACTGCAAGGACTCTATTTAATGCCTTCTACTTTGTCCTCTATATGGTTTAAGATGATGCATTTATTGATTCATATTCATATTTACATGCTATCCAAAAAACATAAATTCAAATTAGATAAAAAACCACACAAAAAGTGTCAAATAGAGTGTGTCGTAGTTGATAGTACTTACAGTGGTCCTCTCCCTGGACTGGTGGGCCACACTGAGGGGCTGATGGCTTTCCATACCTGTAAAGAAAGCAGCCTGCTGTAATGACCAATGTAAACCAGCAAGGGGAGACATTTGCGAGTGTGAATATTCACACACAACACACTTACACATCCATAAATGCACTCTGAATTGTCCAAATATAAATGTCTGACACCAATACTGGGAGAAAAGGGTGTTTGCTGTATTGTGTTCTAACAGCAGACACATCATGATGACAGAGATTGGTGAAACACCCTCTACACATGTGAAGCATCAAATCACAACATTTTGGGTCACTCTAACTTTACATTCATATACCTTTTCACACCAGCTGACCAAACACACAACCTTTAACATGCAGCCCTGCAAACATATACAAGTGACATTTAGCTACCAGAAAAAGAAACCGGAGTAGCTATACATTCACACATTAAATATCAATCACAGTTTACAATGCCATCAGTGAGCAGAAAAAAAAATATGAATGAGGCCAAGCAAGAGTAAATACTCCACTTGTGATGAGGATAAAATGAGAACAAAAAAAATAAAAGACAAAGCAGTTGAGCTCATAAAAAAACAAACAAACACAATGTTTTAAAAATGGGTAAGCAGCACATGATGTTTGCCAGCTACATTGCACCTGCTTGATTCCTGAAAGGGCCATCAATAGAGAGAGAGCAAAGTCATCAAAGTTTTCAATACCTGTTCTGTATGTTTGTAGCTACAGCTCAAATCAAAATGGTTAGATTGCATTTCCAGTTCAGTAGGGTTAAACAAAAAAATTCAGCATTTGTCAGGTTCTTGTAGAAATTAGCTAGCAATGTTTGTTTTCGCGAGCTTACTGTTATTTATATGTATATGTTTAGTTCGTATGAAGCCAGTCTAAAGATTATACAAATGAGGTTGCAGAATGTACATTTGAATTTGGTTGCACTCTCTCTATCCACAGCACTGATTTCTGGTGAAAAGTGTTCACCTGTGGCCTTGCGTCTAGCAGAGCCGTGAAGCAGAGCAGGCCTAGGGTGTCTGGCCGCCGCTTTGGCTACACTCTTTCGAGATGGAGAACGACTTTGGAGGGCTGACACCTTATTCTGGTCAACCCTCCTCACCCCTACTAGCAAAGAGGAGAGACAGCATTATACCAACATGCAAACCTCGGTTAAATGTATTGCAGAGAGGCAAATCTGTGCTTAATTTCAAGTTACACAAGTGACGTGTAAAATGTACATTGATAAATCAAAGTACATAATAATTTGTTTTAAGCTAAACAATACTTCTTGAATACAGAATTGGAACCTTTTTTCTTCTTTATCTCCTCTCGAGGTGGATGGTGGCTGGGTACTTTGCGGAACACTTTACTCTCAGTGGTGCCAAGACGGCCCCTTCCTCTGCCAGGGGCCCGTTTAGCGGGTCTGTCCACCACAGGTGTACTGGTAGGACTCTGGGTCTGAGGAAGGGCTTCGATTTGCTCAGTCATGATACTTTTGTCATCATCTGCAGTGGAGAGGGATTAAAAGAGGTCTACTTCTCCACATTCCTAGCTAGCTAGGAGCTAGCTTAGTACAAAATACACATTAAGATTTACTTGCAACAAGCTTCACAGTTTTAGATTAAAAAAAATATGTAAGATATACATTAAACAGTTATTTTGCACGTGATTAATTTATTCATTTTACAATCTCTGGGTACCTTGTGAGTCCATCCAGCCACTGTCTGTGTCTAGGATGGAGACGTCCATGGTGGTTTCATCGTTAGCTGCCTTGCTGGTCTGGCAGAGCACATCAGAGGTCTCTTCCACCTCCTGACCAATCTCAATGTCTTTCTCCTCCACCTTTTCCTCACCCATCCTCTCATCCTCTCCTTCCACCATCTTCTGCCCTTTCTCTTCAACTACCTCGTCAGAAACAACTTCCTGCTCCTCTGGTTGGTCTTCCTTTACCGTCTCACCCTCCTCTTTCTTCCCTTCATCACTATTTATTTGTGTATCTTCTGCCACTTTATTCTCTCCCATGCCTTCATCTCTGCCACCTTCAACCGGTTGATCATGGTCAGAGCATGGAGACAAGTGTGAACTGTCTGTCGCAGGCTCCCCATCGTCACTGTTTTGGGCACTATGACTCCATTCTTCTGCTCCAGACTTGGTGTCTTCTTCCACCACCACTTGGTTGCCTACCATCAGCCTCACCTCAACTTTCTTTTGCTCCTCCTTCCCAACTTCTTTGATTAGACTCTTCTCTTCTTTATCTGTCTTGGCGAGCACAGGCACTTCAGCTTCCTCCAGCATCTCTTGAGGCTCTTCAGCAATCTCAATATCATCCTCTTCATCTCCTTCTTCCTCTATTTGTGCTTGAGGTATAATGATGACTGGGGAAGATATGTGTGGCCTTGGTGACCCTTTATCCAGAGTCAGCTCCTTTAACTGGATTTGGGCATCTTTGTCATCTAAGCGCTTTTCAGTGCTTAAATCCTGAACCGCTTTTGAGGTGTCTTGCTTTTCTATTCTTGTAGGTGTCCCATGTTCGCTTTGAATCTTCTTGTTGTCTATTTTTGTGCTCTCTCCTAAAGACTGAGATGATGCTGAAGGTATGTCTGTGTTTGCCATTTTTGGTTCACCACTTTCTTCAGATTCTCCCTGCTCAGATTTCAGCATTTTTTCATTTAACACTGTCTGTTTATCATCAGTCCTCTCAGCCTCTGGATCCTTCTCTACTTTGACCTCTGGTAAGACATCTTTCCCTGCCTTCTCTCCAGTGACTTGGGCTTCTGAGGGTGTATCATTTGGGGACTTGGGGGTGGTGGGAGTTGGGGGAGCCTTGCTTCCAGTTTCTGCAAGAGTGAAAGTAAATGAATTGTCTGGTGGGATGGGAGAAGCCTCTCTGGAGGGGTCTTTTTCAACATCTACCTCCGGGATTGCTTGGATCTTTATGTCACCAGGCAGGCCACTCTCCAAACGAAACTCCGTCAGTCTTTCTTTTGAGGAATTAATTGGGATTCTTAGGCGATCAGGTTTAATTCCACTTGTCACAGCTTTTTCAAGAATCAGGGTAGTCTTTACTGGCACATCTTTCTTTTCAAACACTGTTTTTTGAGACATTTCAGGGATAGCTCCTTTAGGGTCTTGTTGTTCCATTCCTTTTTGAACACCTTCAACTTCTGTGGCCCCAAGGTCCTCCTCAACTTCACTCTCCATAGAAGGGAAACGCTGGTGTGGAGAGTCTCCAGGACTGGGCACATCAGCAGGAGAAGGCATCGGCCCTGAGTACTCACTGAACACACAGTAGCCCAGTTCCTCAAGCTGGCTGTCCCCTCCCACCCCTCTCGAGGTCTGATCTCCCAAGGCAAGCTTGGCCAAAGAACTCCCCACTAGAGCTGATACATTAGTGGGCACAGACTTTCGTCTCATGTGATCAAGCTCCCTCCTCTCTAATGATGGCTGAGGCAGGGCTCCAGCTAGGTCCAACATCTCAGACAGGCTGCCTGAATGCTCAAATCTACTGTGCTTATCAGGAGGTAAAGGTGTTTCTACCTTGGTGGGGATATCTTCAGATGATTCATTGGTAGTTGGGGTAATAGAGACAGCTGGAGGAAACTGGTGTTGGCTCTCCACAGATGGTGTTGAAGGGTAAACCTCAGATTCATCAAAGCTTCCACTGATTGGACATAACCTTTCTGAGAAGGCCTTTGACTTCTCTCCAGTCACTGTCTGTCCTGCTGAAGACCCAACAGTGATGTTTAGGGAGTGACTCCTTTGTTCCAATGACATCTTACCAGGAGATGTTCCGGCTTTTCTCTCATGTTGTTCCTCGAGCTTCTGCATAATGCCTTCAGGTTCCCCACTTAACTTAACTGTCTCTGCTGCTGTGCTGAGTTCGTAATAGCTCTGGGTTTGTGCTGACTCCTCTTCGTTGCCTTTTGAGGATGTCTCAAAGTAGGTTTTCGCTCCTGACTCGTGTTCTGCAAAAATATCTGATGTCGCTTTCAACTCTTTACCAGGTTCTGGACTTGACTCAACTGTTTCTTGCCTGTGTTCCACTTTTTGAATGTCAGTCACTGGTGTCTCATGCAATCTAATGTCACTGCCACTATCTTGGCCCTCCTTATTTATTCCCCCAACCACAACAGGTTTTTTCTTGCTTTCATCCACAGGGACTCCTGATTTGCTTGGTAAGATAATTTCCTTTTTGTCTTCCTCCTTAAGACTTGATAAATCCTCTGCCAGTAAAGGTTGTTTTGCTTCTTCTACAGGCAGGTGTCCCTCAGCAGCCTCTTCTACTACATTCTTTCTGTCTTGATTACCCTGCTCAATTGAGGAGGTGTCAGAGAGCTCTTTCTCTTTTACAGACAGAAGGGGAGGTTCAATCGAGGCGAGATCTGCACCTTCAGGCGTTGCACTTTCAACTGCCAACTGATGTAGTGACGCCACTTGTGGTTCATCTTCTTTCATAGCAGACTCACACGGTGCTTTACTGATACATTCTTCTGGGTGGGCTGTGAGTTTGAAGAATACTGTACAACTTTGTGCTGAGTCACATTAGCTAAAAGCTTTGCTTGAAGCATCCACAAAAGCTAGCCAATACAGTCAAGCCGAAGCCTTCTGCACATAGATACAGTAGCTCTCCCTCAAGCAAAACACACAGCACAGTGTATTTTGCAGCAGGCCACAACAGCACAGGGGGGTCACAGCACCTAAGATAGCGTGCAGAACTGGAATGAATGAATGAGTTGCATGATGCTAGATGACAAGAAATAAAATATATTGAATTCCTATTGCAATACACAATGATTGACAAAAATGGTCAACCTAATGATAAAGAAAGATACTTTTATTTAATACGATTAACTTAAAGTCAATGGTGTCATTACAGTCTCTACTTAAAGTACAGGGATACTGTGGATGTGAATGGATATATAGTTTGTATAAAAATGGTTAAGTAAATTTATTAGGGGTATATTCTTGATTCAGTTGACCTTTATAGATAAGGATGATGATACATGTCCAATGAGGGTGGATTGTAATGCCCAAAGTGTGTTTTTAGTAACAATAGGAAAACAGAATTGTCCTTTGCCTTGGAATGAAATGAAAACAACATTGAAACTCAAAGCAAGTGATATACAACAGACATAAAATACATCCAAGACTGATCCATGAAGCACCCATACAGGTGGGTGTACTCATACTCGACACCTTCTTGCACACAATATTCCGGCAAAACCCACAAAAAAATATACAGACAACTAATTCTAGCAACACTTGACAGTGATATTTGCATTTGCAATGTAGCTGGCAATACAAAAGTGCAGAATGATCAACTACAATATGGTTGATCAGGTGTTCTAATGTTGCTCCGATGAAAAGCAAATGATTATTATGTTTTGCATGAAAAAGCATGAAATCAAAATGTTGATTTTGCACATGGCAACGTCAGGTATTGAAGCAGAAGCTTAAGGATTTAAGAGCAACAAAGCTGCAGAAAGGTTGCCAGCAAAGCCTGAGCAGAAAATTCTTTGCAACTGTTAGCAGAGCACAAGAGGATCATAAAAAATAGGTAATGGGTAGAGACTAACTCTGGCACACTTTCATAGAGAAAGGGTGTACAGTTGCTCAGACATACAGTACACTCACACAAACGGTATAAACACACACAAAACCCAAAAACCACACACACCTTTTTGTGACAGGATTTGTTCACCTTGATGACTTCCTCCATTGAGCACCTCAGGTGTCTGGGCTTGCTGGCAGCCCAAAGCCTGGAGCTCTGTTAAATAATCTGTCTGCTCTAAGAGCAAGTCGCCAGGCTGCTCATATGTCACTTCCTCCGGGTAACTGTGGGGCTCCTCTGGAGCCTCCTCCTCATCCTCATCTTGCTGTTGATTGACAACCTCTACTTTATCTTCTTTGAGCAAGGAAGGGAGACACATAGATGAGACATGGAGGACAATCAAACTGGGGTTACAAGACACTTTCAGCTCTGATGGAAGTGCATGGGATGCAATCAACACACCTTCTAGTCTCATCTTAGACAGATAGATAAATAGATAACATGAATTTAGAAAGATACTTTTCTAAAAGTTAGCACATTTGGCTTAGAGCTTAGAGAGATTACAGTTGTGAATAACATATTTTAAGCCTGAATAATAACATGTATTCAATTAGTCTTTTTCAGAGTATATGCCATTTTTAGAGAACAAATCTAAAAAAATATCAAAATTATCTTTGAATTTGTTCAGTTTATTAACAAATAATTGGCATTAGCCCTAAACCATGCAGTGGAGCTATACGATTCTACATTTTGGTGATTGCATGCCACATGCAAGGAGGAAATGATTAGAAAACAGACCGAACTGTTCTCTGTGAAGAGCTGAAAGTCAATATGTGATTTACTCCTTGAGAAAATCAATAAAGAAAATGAGCAAAGGAACAACAGAAGAGATGTTTGAAGGGGAAAGCAGACTAGTGAGATGAAGGGCTCCAGTGGCAGGTTATGTACTATAGCATAAAGGGAGACGGATGTTTGTGTTGTAGTATCCAGGGTTGACTCCAGAAACATACTGGTATGTGTTAGAAAACTAATATTGAACTAATATTGGTAAAATGAATCAAAGTGTGAACCGGACAGGACAGCGTGGCACATGCTGCAGGCTCCTTAAGAGTGATATGATCAGCTGACATGCAAGGCGACAGAAGAACCCTAATCATTAAATACTAAGGGACCAGGGACCAGAAAAAAGAAGAGGAGTTTTTCTTTGTGACAAGAACGTGTGTTTGGTGTCTCCTTTTAGGGATTTTTTTTTACCACTCTCACCACCATTCACACTCTCATCCTGAATGGCCTGACTGGTTAGAAGTGTGTGTGGGTGTACCTTGTGCCACGGGCCCAATCTGCTCAGCGGATGGAGAGGGGGGAGGGGAGGGAGGCAAATTGGCTGAGTCATCCACTGCGAAGGGAGAGAAAGAGAGAGAAATAGACAGACAACACCGGGAAGACAAGACATGGATGGGAGGAAGGAAATGAAAAACGAATAACTCTGACCTTATCTCTGTGGGTGGCCTCGCTTTGTGTTTGACACAAAGCTCGTTGTGTGTGTTTGTGCGGTGATTTGTGGTCGCAAGTACGCTCCTCTAGGATTTGATTAGTGACTAGTTGTGGCTGAGGCAGATGGATGCAGATAAAGCACCAACTTACCTCATAAGGTATAAAATGTCAAAAAGCATATCTCAACCATAAAGAAAACTAAGAAGACACGAAAAAAAACTATTATTTACATTCAATACGCTGTAAAAAATAAAATAAAATAAAAAAAGTGGTTCTGGTTCCACTAAAAGAACACATGCACATGGTCAATTGTGTCCGGACATCTAAGGATGAAATAAAAAGTTACCCACTTAATAACCAGCTTAATCCAGCTTAATTCTCCTTCCTCCGTTTTTTCTACGTTCACTCTATTTTTGCAAGCACATCGGTCAGATTATTGGCATTTTGCTGTAAATCTGGCATCCACCTGCCATTTTCGGAAGGCATATGATTCTTTATTTTATTTGTAAGACTTAGTAACTTTAAGAAAACTACATTATCATAATTTAACTTGTAGAGGGTTTTTAACTGATATATTGTATGCTCATTTTTGCTTAAACTTAAAACAAGCCTGTTTTTGAAAGCCAACCAACTTCAATGTGCTCCACTACAAAATTAAACAGCTTTATTGCAAGAGAAACCTCCTGTCCTTAATTTTTTGCTCAAAGCTTGGATTATTTCCAGCCAGGAGTTATGGAGCTTTTTGCTCTACTTCCAGAAGCCCTTCATACCCATTATACTTTTTAATTACTTGAGTAGTTTAACCTGCAGGAGACACATAACCAAGACTGTTCATGTTCAGCACTCATTCAAATGTCAACCAACTGGATCTGTTCAAGTGCCTTTTGGGGATTGACTGCCCTTGCCTGGCACCATGGAACCAATCACATTAACCCACAGCTGCAGACCCATCTGGCAGTATGTGTAGGCAGACCAATCAATGTCATCGACCCAGTGCTGCATGCACATGCTTATACACACACACTCGCAAACACACCGTGTCCGTGTTCCTACCTGTCGTTCCAGGATGTGCAGCTGCCCCGCCGTGGTATCCATTCTCCCTGTAGGCAGAGCTGTAGGTGGAGTAGCCATTCTCACCGTTCTCTTGGCCGTTTGAGGACCAGTGCTCGTCTGGCTGCCGACCGTCTGCCATGCCTGCCTGCTGGGACACCGGGGAGGAGACAGGTCACCTGCTGGAGCAAGAGGCGTGGTGGAGAAAAGAAAAGACAAAGATGATTTTGAGCTTTGTACATTCAGAAGAAGTAGGGAAATGAGTTAGAGATGCTAAACATAAGGGAGGAGTCAAAACATAGAGCAAAAAGAAGTACTTCACATGATGCACACTGAAAGGCAGTATTTCACAAATCAGCCACCAGAGGGAGTAAGGTGCAACATTATTCCTCTACCGGCTAAGGCAACTGGTCTTTGTCTCAGCATCCACGTGCTGAGACAGGAGGGAGAGACGGACAAAATATATGTACCTATTCTATTCAATTTAAAAAAAAAAAATTCCAGTTTCATTAGAGTGGATGTTTTTTTTTTTCTGTGAGCCTAACAGGTGGAGCATGACATCATCACCTAGCCAAATGGCATACACAATCATCAATCCAAAACACCAACAATGAACAAACAAGTAATAAAGCATTTAGAATACAATTCACACAAATCCTGAATGTAAAGATAAAAATGTTAAGGTGCACTGCAGAAGGCAGCTAATGAACTGGTGGGGGAAAAAAGCACGTGAACACACCCTTCATATCCCCTCACCATCGATAAGGAGGTTGTTACCATGGCAACCGGAGCAAGTCTTATGGGGGTCCAGCAGATGGATATGACAGGCTTGCCCCATTCAGACAACAAAGTGCTCCACACACACACACACACACACACACACACACACACAAACAAGCACACACAAATCTAGACAAAAAAGGCGTATCACATGACAGACAACAGAACCTATTATCTGCCACCGCCTTCGCTAAAGTGCAACAAGCTCTTTCCCTCCAACTGTAATAACAAAAGGTTTGCCCCAATCAAGTATGCACTACTAATAGTATCTACATTCTAATGAAGAATGTACCCTCATAAAAGCAGCCCTTTTCCCCTAATGTTGCTTTTTAAACAAGATTAGCAGGAGGCCTTGCTTTGCCTGGCAGGCTAGCTAAACAGCATCATTATCATCAAACAGCTGCAGCTTATTTCATCATAACAAATCATCACTGGGACTCCTTTCTTTCTCCTCCCTCCATCTCTTTTCTCATGTCCCTTTATTCTAAACCATGCAGCCTTTTTTAATTACCTTTTTTTTTAATCACCTTGTATCTCTGAGGCCTCTGAACTCCGACCAAGTCCATTAACCAGTAGCTTTTTGTCTAGTTTGATCATTCCCCCCCTCTACTCTGTCAATCAGAATTTTTATCAGAATTTTGTTACATTTGGACAGAGCCAGTTAAGATGTTTCTCCAGTCTAAGATAAGGTAACCAGTCAAGTGTGCAAGGAAGCATATTCCCTAAAATATTAGTATGAGTCTTGTTAAAATAGTGTCTTCCATCCTTCTCTTTATTCCTTTATAAGTCTCTCTCCTCTCCTTCCCTGCAGTGCTGCTTGACGACAGGCTCACAGTGATCAGCTAATGTCTGCTGCAGCGGGAAGACGTGAGGATCAGAGGAGAGAGAGAGAGAGAGAGAGAGAAGGAGATAAAAAAAGAAGAGAAGAGAGGAAGGAGAAAGACCTGCTGACACTCAAAGATACTGGGCCAAACTGTCTGAGACTGAAAATCTCAGCCCAGGGCTCGGTCACAGGCAAGTCTAGTCCCAGCTGTTGCCAAGGAAGAAAACTGGTGCACTGACAGCCAGATTGTGCTGATGGTGGTTTAGAATTGCATTGACCTGCTTTCAGCTGCTGTTTTGGCAATGTTATGCCACACTTGGCATTCACACATTGTCCCTACACAGGACGTCATAAACCACGGCTGCTTACAAAAATCCTTTGTGTCGTTATTTGATACAAACATATTTAATTGCACAGCATACCGTTTCCCTCACAAAACCAAATGTAACACATCATAGGAGTCTAAATCTCCTGCATTCCTCTGTTATTTATTGTTGGCTTGTTGGCTATGTTGATTGTTTTGTATTTGAATGCCTCCCCTACCAGCAGACTGTAAAATACTAAGAACCCTTTTAATACAAAGTGGCTTAAGGAAGACTGGTAGGATTGGTGGCGAGTTAGCTGTACCCATTCAAACCCTGTGTGTCAAAGCTATCACCAGTCAAGAGCACAGTGCAGTGAAGTTTCTATTCAACAGATTTTCTTGTCATTAATTCTAAAAGGCATTCACAAGTCCTCACTAAGGCCAATGAAACCAGGTTGAATACTTTGTTGTGCATGACTTCATTGTCGTATGTCTACCAGGTGTGCTTTGGACCAGCCCCCACAGCACTGTCAGAAACTCAAATACCCCTTCCTCAACTCACCCGTCATGTGTTCAATTGATTTCCAACAGGGTGTTATTTAACATAGTTACATAAAAGTGGCCAAAAAATGTATCACACAATTTTACTGTCAGTGTTTGTATTGCAACCACTTGGAGTGGCAGAAGCCGGAAGTTTCAACCATTTACATTACTTTTATCTGACTATTTCAGCTGTTTATACATTCATTTAGCTACTTAGCTAACCCAGCTATTAATCTGATACTTTGAGCTAACTATTTATCCATTATTTTTTGCTTATTACCTATTATCTAAGTTTACGCTGTTTATGTGTTAGTTTAAATAAACAAGCTATGTATTTTTTTTTATATATATATTTTTTTTATTGATCCATTACTGGTGGTAACTAGTTACTCAATTTATAGCTTTAATAATCTATTTTTTATTAGTTGAAGTACGACCCGTTCATGTACCCATTGGCAACTGCAACACCTCCTGGGGGAATTGCCCCGTGGGAGGATCAATGCTTGAGACAATATTCAGTTTAAATCTATTTTCTATAAGAAAGTGATGACTACTTTTATACATTAATCCACAATCTCCTGGGTTGGCCACTCTCTCCAGACACACTCTGACGTCCTTGTGGGATTAACCTGATCTGACATTGCCCCCGCTCGTCGCTCCCTTTTAGCTGTTTACCAGTCTTATTGTGTTAGAGGAAAAGGATGAAGTGAATAATGGGCATCTTTCCACACAATATAAAAAAAGGCAGAAATGTGAAAGCAATTTTCTTAACACACTCAGTACAGTCTGTAGGGTCAATCTGCAGTTTGCTTTTATGTTAGCTGACACAGTACAGCAAAATATTCCTTTCATGAGCAGGAAAAAAAAAAGTTATAGACTAATGTGGCATTACCTGCAGGCCACGACTGACCTCTGGTATCATTTACAGAGACAGCAGGTAAAACCAACCTCATTACCCTTTCTAAAGAACTCCTAACCAATAAAAAATGTCTGACTATTATATTTTCAGGAAGGCTTAGAGAAACCCAGCAGTTAGCCCACAACGGCTCAGCATGTGAATCATCACAGTGTCTAAATCTTAAAAGGGTTAAATCAACAGCACTAGGAGTCAAAAAAGGAATGTCAAATCCTATTAGATCTTGGGACTGATGTCTTAAATTGAACATGCCAGCATGATCTCTCACAGAGAAGAGAAGGTGTGGCAGAAGGCCTGAGGCTCGTCTGAATCGAGTAGGCTTCCTTCTCTTCCTCCCTCTTTCTTTTGTCTTTTTTCAGCGCCATCGTCTATCACCCTCATGCCCCCCCACGGCTACACTCTGCTCTACCTTTCAGCCCCAGCATCCCTCTTTTCTACCGACTCCACCCCACCCCTTCCCTAATCCGACCTCACTTCCCTCCCCGTCTGGGCCCCCCCCGTCGCACTACCAACCTCACCCCCAATCTGGGTCACTCATCACGCCTCCATGGAGCGCCGCTCACATCGGAATGTCACCATCCATTTAAACTGGATGGAATCTCTGGCAGCCAGTCTCAGTGGGCCAACCTGCCCTTAATCCTCTGTGTGAGCACCCAAGTGTGTGTGTGCATGTGTATGTGTGTGTGTGTGTGTCTGTTTAAAAGCTTTCATGTTCATATGTAGGATCAGCTTGGGTCTCCAATTTTAGGCATGACTTTATTTTTAAAACTTTTTATAATGGTCCATTATTTAATCCGTCTTTCTCACATGTTCTACTTCCATTCATTGTAAATAAAAATCTTCCATCTACTTCCCCCTCCATTTTGCAAGCAGTCCAAGGTTTTGAATTAGCATTTTGAGCATTTGGCAAATGTCCTCCTATTAGATAAATTAAGAATATTTTGGCCACTGTACACCAATTACTTAAGGGGGAATTTCCAAGAAAATAATTTGTTTTAGAGACAGTAATACAATAAGAATAAGAAGGTTGCTGGTTTGTAGGGTCGAGTGATGCTTTTCAAAAGTATAAAACTATCAAATGAGTAAGGTGTGTCAATATCTCTTAAATACAGCAACTGAGGAATACAGCAATAAAAGAACCTGGTCTGTAAATAGTTCTCTTACTCTTGTGATCAAAAACATTGTTCTGACACTTAGTTCTGGAAATAGTTTTCTAATATAGGAGATTATGACAGGCATTTTACTGTACTGTACAAATACTGTACTACTGTACCTGCTTGATGGCACTTTAAGAATATGAAAAAATAACTGGTTTGTTTGTTTAGTAGCAGATAATTTAGGAGTATGACTTAAAAAGTTCCAACATTCATCAAAGCACTACATTATTTAGAGCAGATACAATATCATAAGCCATGTACAGTAAACACAGTCACTATAGCGTACGTTGCAGTGGAGGATGGGTAACTGTCACACTAAACCATTGGAGCTCTGAGGAGGACAGTAGGACAGTCAAGGTTGCTGTGACCTGTAATCAACCCAGAATCCAGCAGCTTCCGCAGCAACAGCAACAGCAGACGGCGGATTATGTTTCGTTGACTCAGCAAGACATGTGGGGGATTGAAGCATAATGAGCGCTGCCAGCGAAGTGTGAATGAACTGTGTATATGTTCAACACAACGCATGACGAGCACACAAACACGCGCCCATGTATAAGAGGTGTGGGGCTGATTCCACTCCTTGCAGATTAAGTACCGTAATAACAGCAGTATAGGTGCACTAACATTATCAGGGTTTCTAATTCGTTTGCCAAAAAAACCTGAATTAAGCAGCAGTCACACTGTGACAATAGTATGTAACATAATATTAATGTGTGTACTAAATTAAGTATCCCCTATGTCGTATCTACATTCCCCTTAAATAAGCGCTTCTAGTACTGGGTCCTCTATCCCATCTTGGATCACAGTCTACGAATCTGAGTGTGAATCTACTGACTGCAAGACTCAACCATGGTGGCGAGAGGTGGGGGTGGGTTATACAGCCTGTCATTTATTTATAAGGAAAGATAAAGTGTCAGTAAATTTAAATCCAGTGCGACTTTAAGGGTTGGTGAACACAAATTGCAAATTATGAGTCCCAGTGAGTTGCCAGACCTCGCCAGTGAACCATTGGAACTACTTTCTACCAAAGAAATAGTCCCCATGAAATCATCTGTGGATGATCCATTTCAGACACTGATTCAAGAAGTAGATGTTGTTGTATCTCAGCGGGTGGGTGATGGGGGAGTATTTAAGAAGTCTGCTGAAGGCATCGACCGTTAGACGATCCCTCTAAATGCCTTGCCGCTGCTCTGCGTCACATCCAATGAGCTGTTAGCAAAAATGATTTCACCAAACTACTTCTGTATGATTATAATGATTCAAAAATAAAAAAGCAGTGATCACAGCTTATTCTTATTTATAAAAACAAATGGCAATGTACTTAATTTTTTTTTAAAATTATATATATTTTATTGAGGTTTTGGCACCCTGCTAATCAGCTTGTGCTGTAGAAAAAACAATGGCATAATTATTGTGATGAATTGATTGACATATTTTGCATTTTGGATGGTTTTAGTGAGTAAAGTCTATCTATCTGCAAACTGAATTTTCCCCCTTGAAGACAATTTAAGGTCAAATTTAAATCAAACTGACTGGCAGATGTATTCCCTCCTCTCCCTGCTTGCATGCAAGCTTTTCCTTCTCTTTAGTTTTAGCCTCCAATCTAAAGAGGAGTAAATGCTTCCTGGCACACGTCAGCCCCACCCCACAGTGATGTCATTGTTCCCATGGTGATATGAGACCCAGGGGTGGGAGGGGCTGGTGATGGTCAGGAGAGGATGCTGGCTGCAGAGAGTGGACTTTGACCATGTTATGAATCCTGAAATAGGTCACAAGATCCTCCAGGCACAGCCCCGGGGGTCCTTCCTAACTGCATCGACACAAATGGGAGTCGAGCCATTTAAATTCATCAATACACTGATAGCTGGTTGCTGGTTGGGCTGATGATGTTACATTAGACTTTTAGGCTGGTGCTGATATCTGTATAGTGTAACACTGTTATGTTACTATAAAAGCTAGAGCCAAAATTGATACAAACAGCCGGAGTCAATCACTTTGTATAACAGCCTTATTCCATTGCAATAAACCAGTTTTTTTTCCTTTGGATACCTTAAAATAAAGAAATATCTACTTGCGATATCTCGTCATATAAGCAGTACTTCCAGAGAGTGATTTTTATCTTCTGATTGTTATATTTTCAAAAACATTTTGAGTTGTAAAGAGGAAAAAATATCCATTGTTTTGTTAGACAAAAAAGAAAATGGAGAAAAGTCACAATAATAATTTTTGTGAAATAGAAATGTTTTTTTTCTTTCTTATTCTGTCAACCGTCTTGCAACACCTCAGATATATGTTGCGACTCCTTGAAGGTGTCCCAATCCACAGGTTTGTGAACTATACTGTTGTAAGAGATGCTGAAATCATCATCATCAGCTTTGTGATGATTAATAATCATTTTTCAAGCAAATATGTCAAACATTTTATGGTTCCAGCTTCTCAAATGTGAGGATTTGCTGCTTTTCCTTGTCGTTCATAAATGAAATGGAACTTTTCTGGGAAAAACTCTTCTAGAGTGCTTAAAACAATGTTTTATGTCTCAGGCAGCAGCAAAAGCAATTATTTGGGAGGAAATGGCTAGTTACCATGAGTAGCGATAGACCATGTAAACATACAGTATAAGGAAAAGAGTGCCAACTTCAGAAAGCATCAGCACCATTCAGAAAAAAGGATGTAACAGTACTACCCACATGATTTGATTGACAGGTCAAAACACTATAGCAAAGAAACCAGAGGTGATGAATACCAACAGATTTTCATTATTTACACATTATGACTGTGCACAGGCAACCAGAATTAAAAAAAGAGCACTGTGATTTAAATTTCACCAGCTATTACTGCATAATAACTCCTGCAAAGATAAAGAGAGCAACAAGTGTGAAATTTCACACAACACTAAGCTCCCATACGAACCCCTTCCTTTCCAGCCATCTTGCATTTTCACACGTTCTTCATGGCTGAGGGGATTAAGATGACTGTCGACAGCCAACACCCTGCACGCCCATGCTCACACACACCTACACACACGCCCTGTTCAAATCAACCCAAATACATGACACCCAAAAACTCAAGCAAACGATCACACCCTCTCATTGTCGCTCCCGAATGTATCCATAAAGCTAAACCTCTGTGGCTGGAAGCAAACAGACTGTTAACATGAGCTAAATATAGACACACACTCAAAACACAAAGACCTCTCTAAAAACAGCATTTACCCACCAAATCTACATTTAGCCGCTCTCTCTGTCTTTTAAATTCCTGTCATGAAAGTCAAACACATTTAAGCAGCAAAAGCCCAAAACATGAGATTGGAGTTTCAAGTTAATGACTGTTTTCTCGTGGTCAGACCATATCTTGCATGACATCAACCCAAACAATCACCCCTTCGAGCTTCCCACATGTTGCTGAGCATAATTCCCCCTCTATTATATATCCATGGACAGTCAGGCTAATCATCTGGCTGAGTGCAGCCACTTAGATCGGACTCCCGGGGCCCCATGAGTCATGGGAAAAGTGAGTGTGAAATGTCATGGAGTAGAAGCAGTGCATAGTATACCATCTGGCAGCAGTCCAGACTTCTATGTTTTTGTGTGAGATTAAAATATCTCACTGTAAAAGCTGTATTCTAGCAAATGGTTCAATATAGAATTTATAGCAGCATGGCTCTATAGATAGTCAGTCTGCTGGTCAACCACTTTGATCCAGATACAGATGTTCAGATTATTCATGTTTCCCAGATGATGAATCCTACTGACTTTGGTGATTATTTGACTTTTCCTCTAGCACCACCATGAGGTTTGATATCTGTGATTTTGAGTGTAATATCTCAATAACTATTGAATGAATTGCCAGGAAATTTACAGACATTTTTGCTCTCCTCAAGATGAACCGAAGTAACTTTAGTGACCCTCACACTTTTCAATCATCGGGTCAAAATTTAAAGTTTATGACCAAATACCTGCAAAACGAATGACATTCCCATGGAAATGTTAGCATGCTAGCATGGCAAAGTACAGAGCCCAGGAGATGCCCTGGCAAAAAATGTTTTTCGTGCATTTTGCAGTCACTGTAGTTACTCCTTCGTGCTTGGAAGAGGAGGGTGAAGCGAGTGAGTTGCAATCTGCAACAACACTGCTAGATGCCACTCAATCCTACACACTGGACCTTTAAATCATGCTCACAAATCCAGGATTTGTTTCTCTGTGACACCTCCCAGGCTCTGTACTTAACATGTGTACATGGTAAACATTATACCTGCTTCATCACACATCAGAGTGTTAGCATTCAGCTCAAATCACAACTGTGCCTAAGTATAGCCCGATAGAATCTTGCTTATTCACACACCACCTTTTGTTACCTACCTTGAAGAGCTGTCTTCACTTATGGATGAAACAGACAAGTGCTGAGATGAGGCGTCTGCTCAGACCTGCATGAAAAAAAGAGAAGAGGGAATGTTAGGACATCAATAAACTGCAGCACTGGAGTGGAACACTCCATCCTAAAAAAAGAGCTGTGTCATTGGGTCTGACAAAAGCCAAAGCTCATTTAATCCACCGACAGCCTTAAGCTCTGAATCCAGCCTAGTTAGACCAGAATCAAATGAGGGACTTTTTACAAGACAGCTCTCATGTCAGCATTTTGTTAAACACAGCCGTGCATGGGCCATGCATGCACACGGCAGCTTAGCTCTGTCACCTGGAGTCCGCCAGCAACATTAATCCAAACCTTAGTGCGGCCTTGTCTCTCTTTTAAGCTGCCGCTGATGGGCTGTACACAACAACAAAGCCAAAGACAATCTAATCTATTTAGAGTGTGTCCGTGATGATGTGCGTGAGCATACACATGTAAATGCCTTTTTGTTGACTGCATATTTTTTCTGATCATTAGTATCATCACAGGACTGTGTCATGCATTTCATGTTAATTAATTTTTATAATTGTATTTGCCTGTTTTATATTGAAATTAATGGCATTATTCTCCAGCATTGTTCACATTATCAGATTTCCTTTTTCTTGTTTGTTTGCGTGTTTTGATAACCAATTTCGGATACTGGGAAGTTGTGTGGATTGGCACTGAAGGTTTTACATTTTAGGAAATACATGCTAAAAATAAGTATATTCGTGGTAAATATGGAGCTGGAGCCAGCAGCCATGTTAGTGAATTCTTTTACAGGGGGGTTATGCATTTAAATATTTCTTCTCTGGAGCAGCAATTTCCTGGCATATCGTTTTTACAAGTCAATGTTAATATAGATTTAAAAAAACAAACCATATATAACGTGTTCATTTGTGAGCTTTATAGGTGCCGGTAGGTGGGATTTTGTGTGGACAGAGCCAGGCTAATCCCCCTATTTCCAGTCTTTATGCTAAGCTAAGATAACCTAACTATCAAAGAAAATATACAACACTGGTATCAATCCTCTTATCTAACCCTTAGCAAGAAAGCAGATAAGTGTATTTCCTAAAACTATTTCTTAAACAAAATGGAAAGCTGAGGAACATTTTATCGGTAAAAAAACAGACAAGTTAATGAGTGTGACTACAGAGGTTTGTAGGATAGTTTCCAAGGCAACTGCAGGGATAATAATCCAAAAAGAAAATCAAAGTGATTATTTCTCATAAACAAGCGATTACAAGCAAATGTGTGATCTGTGTGCCAGCGACTCTACTCGTGAGCTGTTTTTGAGATTTGTCAAATTCTTGGTCCGGCCTGTTGGAGCTGAGCCAGAGGATGAGTTAAACTTTAAGCCAGCCATGAAGAAAGACAGACTTGCACATTTACTCTGCTCTGGGACTGTAAGGAGGTAGAAAACAGAGCATCCTGTTAACATGATAATAGTGTGAAAGGACTATCGGGGGGGGGGAGAGATTCAAAACAGGCATTTGGACAGAGAAAGAAAGAGATAGAGGATGAAGTAGAGGGACGCACAGAGAGAGCAGAGATTCTCCAAACAGGAAGGAGGTTGATTTATTAGAGAAGAGAGGAAAAGAGGCCTGGAGTGAAAAAGAGAAGGAAACAATACACAGAAGAGGAAAGACGTATATTTCTGCTAAAGGACAATACTGGTTTATTGCAACTTTTAATTTTAAATTTTTATGCTTATGCTGTTGACACGATTGTGTGGTCATGCTTTTCATAATTGTACTTGCATGTTTTAAATTGAACCTAATAGTTTTATTTTGGAGCATTGTTAGCATTATCAAATTATACCAAACATTTCCTCCAGAACTGCATGATTGTCTTGTCTTTTAATTGCCAGTCTGATGAATGTTTTGTTACAACAGGAAAGAGGTTGGAGAGAGGAAAATAAGCCAGGGTTGGTAGAGGGGGAAGAAAAACTATTTAATTCACAGCGGCAAAAAGAAGTAACGGTTTTAAAGTTAGTTAGTTTCTTATTTATAACCGGAAGTTACTGATATGCATGACATCGTTTCTGGTGAGCTTTTAATAATCAGAAATTCCAGAAACCTCTTTTGTTTTTGCTCATGTCATTTCAGGGCCTTCATACATTCTTTGTGCAAAGGTTGGCAATAAAAAGAAAAACAGTCAATTTCTCTTCAATGCACTAAAACATTCAAGCCACTGCTGGTATGGTCTTTTAAGTTGAAGATATGGTGAATTGGATTGGTAGATGGAGAGGAGAAAGATGCAGAGAGATGCATAGTTACCGCATGGTCCAAAAATATCAGGAGCGTGACAAGAATAGAAGCGTGGTTTTAAACTGTTACAGTAAATGATCCCTTTCTCACACAGCAGTTGTCCTGCTTGTTATGATCCCTAAGTCCCCATTAACACAATTTGTCTATTTCTTTTTTCTTTCTCTTTTTTTTCATCTCATGATAAAGTCACTAACAAGTGGAGCTTGTGATCTAAATTGGACACAAAACTAATGAACAAACTGATGAAAGTTAACTGTAACTGGGGGAAAATAATGGATTAATGAATGAATTCCCTATGACAAGTTATCTTCTTTTTGATCATGGTTACCAAATTACTTCTATTTCTCCTATTTTTTACTACATTAATGGTCTGATTTCCACAGCCTGTCTAATGATAAAGTATCTGAAGCGTGTCATATCTAATCTCCAAACTCATTAATTGCAGCTTTTACAGGATGAAATGCTGATCATTTATTTTACTTATCAGTCACCCAAGATGACCATCAACTCTACCAGCACATCCTGTGGACTGATATTTAATGGATGGGCACAAACAGTACAGGCTTGAACAAAAAAGCAATTTGTCTCTGGAAAGGAGGAACACATTTGACAACGCATTTTTCTGCCTGACATTTGTCTTGACCTGTATGGTCCTCCCAGGAGGAGCGAGGCCAAACAGGTCAAACAGAGTCAAGGATGGAGGAAGGAGGGGAAGGAGGTCAGAGGCTGACCTAATCCGCAGATTTGACTTTATCATCAGAGTCGAGGCAAACAGGAAATGAATCCTAATCTCAGCGCCGTGCTAAAAAGCCTGATAAACCTTGCTAAAATGAGCCAGGAGAAGAGATAAAGGGCAACATCACAGAATATATTTCCCGAATTTTCTGGTTCAGTTTTTACTAAGCAGTGCTTTCTGCATTACAGGCAATCCTTTAATTCTGGTGTATTAATCATCCAAATCTTTTTTCAGACTCAATCAGTCACAATTTGCAAGAATAGGCCAATTCAGACAGTTCGTCATAGGTCATGAATTGATTTTGGCACTTCAAACTCTCCAAAAACACATTTAGCACCATTATTGCAAAAATGTAAGAAGTAACGAGGCACAAAAAAAAGAATCCATGTTCCTGGATAACCAAACACATTTACGTCCAAAGCCAACATTCAAAGTCAATGCAGGAAGTGTGTAGCTAGCATGGATGTATTGGGAAAACTGCATTTCAAGGTGGCACCCCATTTATTCCTATGAAAATTGCTCACTTGGCGCATACAGGGTTTTTAGGTAAGAAACTACTTATAGAGCTCTGCTAGATTTTATTGGATGTAAGAGATAAGGGATCATTCTGATTATAAAAAGAGTCATTTTGTTTTTGAAGGTCAGATTGTGTATGAGAAAAAGTTTTTTAGTAAAGTATTTAAAAGTGTTCTTGCTTGGCAACAGGTTTTAAAAAGTTTTTTTTTCTTTATCTGATATCATCAGTTTTGATCATTTGCTTGCACGTTATTTAACAGTATTGTTTGGCCTTTAGTTAACTAGAAAGCAATTTATGCAAACAACCCAGTTCTGACATAAACAGGCACTTCCAGCCTTACTGTATTTAGTAACTTAGTCCTAGTTTCCTGAGGACATCCAATATGACCAGAGTTTATATTATGTCACCTGAAGGCTTAGTTGCTACTTCTAGAACTACTCCTGCCTCCTACAGCAGGTGCTAAAGGCTAAAAATGAAGTAGGTTTGTGTTACTAAGCAATCCCACTGTGTCACCGCAGAAAATTACATGATTTATGCTAATGTGTCTGTTGAAGCTGCAGTGTTTTGTTCAGAGTGTTTGGTCCAACCAGAGGGTCCAGCCAGTACATTTGACAGAGCCTCTCCTCTGAGGTTCTCTGCTTCCTTCCCTTTTAACTTGGCCATCGCCCCCGTTTCTTCATCTATAATTCACACAGACAGCCTCCTTCTCCCCACAGACAAACACACACACAAGCTCCTTCGGGCCAGCATACGCCTCCGTACAACAAACACACGAACACATGCATGTTTAATACATGAAAGCCACGTGGAGTTGTAGTCAGGGTGAGGAATATTCAAAAGTGTGTTCTTTTATGGCACCAAAATATGATGACGATGATGATGAAATACATCTAGAAACGTAATTCACTGAAAACTGAAATGTATATTGTTTAGTTCCTCACTGTTCTTCCACATCATCTGAGTGTTCATAACCATTTCACATATGGCACCGCGTGTGCCATTATCTTCATCACCAGAGTGAGTAACTGCATCTGTGATTCACTTCGCCATTTCTAACCACGACTCTCCATCTAGTCCTGAACTCCTTTGTTCTGCAGGAGCCTCTGTATACTGCAATCTTACAGGTGTAGAGAGATAGAGATAGAGAGACAGAGAG